CTGCTCCTCCTCTTGCCTCCTCTGCGACCCCTCGCACTCACGACCCTCCCTTTATCTGCCCTCACCCCTCCCCTCCTTCTCTAACACATCTCTCGCTGGCGAGCTCTTCCGCTGGTTCTGCGGATAGAGGAAGAAGCTCGGGCTGTTCGTCATGTAGGGCATCAGCGCCTGCAGGGGGGAGATCGGCAATCAATAGTTTTTGTTTTTTTGTTTTGGGGGGGGGGGTGCGCATGTCGGGGGGGCCCAACCAGGGGGCAAGGCGGGCGAGGGCGAACGAGGAAAAGCGAGAGAGAGAGAGAGAGAGAGAGAGAGAGAGAGAGAGAGAGAGAGAGAGAGAGAGAGAGAGAGAGAGAGAGAGAGAGAGAGAGAGAGAGAGAGAAAGAGAGGAAACATGAGGAAACGCACACAAGAGGCAGACGGAGTAGGAAGACACGGCCACTTCCCTGCTCCCACGATCAGGCTCCTCATCTTTCCTTTCTCGTCTGCCCCCTTGTCCTCTTTCGTCGTCATCGCCGCTGGCAATTTCGTGATCGTATTCCTGCTGGCCCCGTTCATCATCATCATCATCCTCATCATGTCTCTGCTGCCCGCTTCTGCCTCCTCCTCCTTCTCCTCCTCCCCCTCCTCCTCCTCCTCCTTCTCCTCCTCCTCCTCTGTGCGGCGCCTTGGCCACCGCGGCCGCGGACACGTCTTCAGCGCCGTCGTCGCAGTCGTCGTCCTCGTCCTCCGCGCTGCTGATGACTTCTTCTGCCATCGCCCAGCCGCAGCGGCATGGCGCCAACGACCCCGACAGTGAGTTAGAAGATGGAGGCGAAACGAGGAAGAGAGAATCATACTTGGAGAGATGAGGAGGAGGAAGAGGAGGAGGAGGAGGAGGAGGAGGAGGAGGAGGAGGAGGAGGAGGAGGAGGAGGAGGACGAGGACGAGGAAGAGAGACGATCACATCAGGGTCGGTGCCGCCAGACCCTGGCGTACGCGGCTGGCTCGCTGCGCCCCCTCCCGCCCTGGGCCTGAAGCGAACCGTGCAGCGCCAGACGAAATACGGTGGGGGCGTTGGTTCAGGAATATGCCCAGGAGGCCTCAGACCTCGGAGGGTTCCTTATCTGATGAGCGCAACGGTGATATTCGTGGCAAGTTCTCGATTGGAGTTCCATCGTCTTCCATGCCCTGGATTCCTTATCCAATGGTTCCTGATCCAACGCCTTCACCGTACTAACTCACACGTGTGTATATATATATATATATATATGTATATATACACATTTGTACGTGGGAGGGACATGTGTACTTAGTTACAGACGAACTTTGTAACTTAATACTCACGATTAAGAGACATGACATCTTACAAGTGCGATGTGTGCTGGTAGAGACACTATATATATGCACAATTGTTTAATACTGTATGTGTATATATATATATATATATGTGCGTAAGCATACATATCTAACATTGTCAGACCCGCCACTACATAGCTGTATATATGCATATGTGTATGTCTGCATATATGTATATAACATATCATATGTATATACGTGTATACACATGTATGTGTATATATGCACATTCACGTATAGTGGTATATATATGTATATATGTATATATATGTATGTTTGTATATATGCATATATATATATGTATATCTATATATATATACATGTATACATGTATACATACTCATGCATCTATATCGTGTAACATGATATGAATTTCCGCAGTTCCTCTGTTTTTTGTTGATGTGCCATATGTTCCTCAATTTTTGCTGGATTCCGCAACTTTTGTTTTCTTTTTTAAAACAACAACAATTCCGCAACGAAGTTGCGGAAAAGAAGGTCTGGGCTCGAGAGGGCGCCGACCGGAGACCTCTGCTGCGTCCGCCTGGGCTCTGCGCCTCCCCGGGCCGGGGGCATTATCCAGAGGGCAGAAGCTCCACCCCGAGAGTAACTTCCCGACGCGCGAAGCCGTTTGGTAAACGCACCCAGAGAAAGAATCAAGCAGGGTAGTCCTGTTTCATAAACGCCCAGGGCCGTTTAGTAAACGCCAGCTGTCCGGTCCGGGTGGCTTTTCCTCCCTTGAATCTCGATTGCGAAGTCGGCCGCCACTGCAGTGCCATTGGCGGCGGTCTCGCTGGCCCTGCTCTGCGGGAACGCTCCGAGCTGCGCCGCGTTTGGTCACCCGTCGCGTCTCTACAGCCATATCCACGGGGCCTCAATAGGGAACCGAAGAATGACATAAACATAAGAACTCGGAGGTCCGCGCGGAATTCTCGGATCGGCGCTGGACCCCCCTCCCTGGCGCGCGGAGCGCGCCAGGGGCGGCGCTGGAGGCGCCGCCAGGAGGGTCCAGTGCGGATCCGAGAAATCCGCGCGGACCTCCGAGTTTAGATCCCCTGGTTACTCGCACCTCTTCTGCCGCCGACCCCGACCGCACAGCGACACCTCGCCAGAATAGTGCCACTCGCCCAGACATCGGCAGGCCTCGAGCCAGCCAGTCCCTCCCCCCGCCCCCCCGTTCGCTCCTCGCCCCTCCCTCATTGCCGCCCACCCGCCACCCTGTTCTGGGAGAAGGGCGCATCTCCCGCCCGGCCCAGCTCCACCCAACTCGGTCCCGGGAAGGACCCCTCCTAGGGCCTCGGGGCTTCGTAAACGAAGGCGTAGCTGAACGGGGGCTTTGGTATTTCCATATGCCCTCGTATACGATGCCCCCGTCTCCCGCCAGTGGCCCCCAGGGCCCCCCAAACGAGGGCATAACCAAACGTGGAAATTGCGTTCCCCGTGCCCCCGTTGCTGTGCCCCCGTCCCGCCTCCAGCGCCCTGAGGGTCCGTCCTGGCCTGCTTCTCCAGGGAGGATCCAGCCCTGGCGGCGAGAACCCCCCAGGAGGCCAACAGCAGGTTGCGAAAACCGCGATCTCGAGCCGTGCCCCCCTTTGCCGTGCACCCGTCCCGTCTCCGGCGCCCTGAGGGACCGCCCTGGCCCGCTCTCTCCGGAGGGGATCCGGCCCCTGCGGCGAGACATCCCCAGGAGGCCAACAGCAGGTAGCGAAAACCGCGATCTCCGTGCCCCCGTCTGCCGTGCACACGTCCCGCCTCCAGCGCCCTGAGGGACCGCCCTGGCCCGCTCTCTCCAGGGAGGATCCGGCCCCTGCGGCGAGACATCCCCTGCAGGAGGCCACCGGCAGGTTGCGGACACCGCCGGGGAGGTCCGGCGCCGCCTCGGCTGGCCCTCCGGTGGTATCCGGCCCCCGCTCCTCCGCACATCTGCCCCCCCGCTGCTGCGCACGCGCGCTGGGCCGCAGGTCTGCGCCGCCCCGGCCGCGGCGACCGCGCCCCACCGCCCCGGGGGGCCGGGGCGCGGCCCGACGTCTCCTTCTCCGATCCTCTCCACCGTGCCGCCCTCCCCGTTCCCCCCCCCCCGTCCTCATCCTTCCCCTCCTCCGTCCGCATCTCCCTCCTATCCCTCTCTTTCTCTTCCGCCCCTGCCTCCCAATCATCCGCTTCCTCTTCTGCGTCCTCCACTCCCTCCTCCTCCTCCTCCTCCTCCTCCTCCTCCTCCTCCTCCTCCCTCGCCCTCCCCCTCTGACTTTAGGTCGCTCCACAACAACCCTCGCCCTCCCCCTCACCCTCCTCCCCCAACTATCATGTTTCCTCCTTCTTTCCTATTTTCTTTCCCTTCAACCTTCTCCTCCTCCTCCTCCTCCTCCTCCTCCTCCTCCTCCTCCTCATGTTCCTCCTCCCCCCCCTCCCCACCCCGTCTCTCCGCCCCGCCTCGCCGCCCGTTCCCTCCCCCCCCCATCCCCGCCCCCGCACACACACACACACACACACACACACCACACACACACACAAACACACACACACACACACACACACGCACGCACGCACGCACACACACACACACACCAACACACCACACACACCACAAACACACACCCCCACCCCCCCCACACCCCACACCCCCACACCCCACACCCCCAACCCCACACCCCACACACCCCACCCCCCCCACACCCCCACACCCCCACACCCCCCACCCCACACCCACACCCCCCCCACCCACCCCCCACACCCCACACCCCCACACCCCCCACACCCCCACACCCCCACACCCCCACACCCATGTCCACGCCCACGCCCACGCGCGCGCCCACGCGCGCGCGAACGCGCGCACGCACGCACGCACGCACGCACGCACGCACGCACGCGCGCGCGCACGCACGCACGCACGCACGCACGCACGCACGCACGCACGCACGCACGCACGCACGCACGCAACGCACGCACGCACGCACGCACGCACGCACGCACGCACACACACAGACACACACACACACACACACACACACACACACACACACACACCACACACACACACGCGCACGCGCACGCACACACGCACACACGCACACACGCACACACGCACACACACGCACACACGCACACACTCAACACACACACGCACACCACCACACCGCACACACCACGCACGCACACGCACGCACGCACGCACGCACGCACGCACGCACGCACGCACGCACTCACGCACGCACGCACGCACGCACGCACGCACGCACGCACACACAGAGAGAGAGAGAGAGAGAGAGAGAGATACACATACATCCTCGTTCGCAACCTCCTCACCCTTCCCCTCCTGCACCCGCTGTCTCCCCTTGGGAAGGGGAAGGAGGGGGGAGGAGGGAGGGGGGAGAAGGGGGAGGAGGAGGAGGAGGAGGAGGAGGAGGAGGAGGAGGAGAGGAGGAGGAGGAGGAAGGAGGAGTGAGGAGGAGGAGGAGGGAGGAGGAGGAGGAGGATGAGGAGAGCAGGAGGGGAGGAGGATGGGGAGGAGGGGAGGAGGAGGAGGGAGGCAGGAGAGGAGGAGGAGGAGGAGAGGAGGAGAGGAGAGAGGAGGAGGGAGGAGGAGAGTAGGGGGAGGAGGAGGGGGGCAGGAGGGGGATGAGGAGGGCGCGGCCGAGACAGGCCGTGGGCAGGCTGGGCCGGCCGCCGTCCTGCCGCAGGGCCTCGACCTGCTGCTCCTGCATCGCGGCCTGGGCCTGCGGTGCTCGAAGCGGCGGCGGCGGCAGTCGTCCTGCTACGCCTCACTCCGCATCGCTCCTCCTTCCTGCCCCTCCTCCTCCTCCTCCTCCTCCTCCTCCACCTCCTCCTCCTCCTCCTCTTCGTCCCTCCTCCTCCCCCTCCCCCCTCCACCGCCAGCACCACCATCAACATCACCATCAACAGCAGCGACAGGAGCATGCACATCAATATCAGCATCAGCATCAGCATCAGCACCCTCCACATTAACAACAGCGTCAACCTCAGCATCGCTACACGTTCTGAAAACGACTCTCCTCTCTCCCCTGACTCTTTCCAGGAGATGTTCGGCCCGTTCAGAATGCTTCTCTACACTGGGCTCCAAACGCTGAATTGGTTCATGCTGTTGTGTACAATCCGAGCGTCTCGAGTTGTTGTTTAATGATGTTCCCGCTGCAGTGTGGGCTTCATTTGTGGATTGGCGCGCTCGCCCCCGAGCGGGCCGTTTAGGGGAATACGATTCCGTTTTTATGACTGTGGCCCTCCCTCATTCCCCTTCCTCCGCCTTCACCTGGTCCTTTGCTCCTCCTACTCCTTTCGGTTCAGCTCCTGCTCCTCCTGATCGTCCTCGCCCTCCTCTGTCCTCATCCTCATCCTGTTCCTCCTGCGCATCCTCCTGCTCATCCGCAACCTCCTCATCCTCATCCTCATGCTTCTCTGTGCACAGCTCACCCTCGCCGATTGCGCAAAACACGACGAGATCTTTGGTCTTTGGGGGAGTCCCAGGCCGGCTGTGACACGCGTCTGGGGACAGAGCAAGACCAGCGCAGTGGAAAGGGATGGGAGGGAGGGATATAATGTCAGCTGTGGCGCAGGCGGACCTAGCTTGCCTCCTCCTCCTCCTCCTCCTCCTCCTCCTCCTCCTCCTCCTCCTCCTCTCCCCTCCTCCCTCTCCTCCTCCTCCTCCTCCTCCTCCTCCTCCTCCTCCTCCTCCTGCTCCTCCTCCCCTCCTCCTCCTCCTCCTCCTCCTCCTCCTCCTCCTCCTCCTCCTCCTCCTCCTCCTCCTCCTCCTCCTCCGCCTGGCGCGGGCGGGTGCCTCCCGCCCCCCGAGCACAGCGATCGGGAGCCCCGCCGCCCCGCAGATGGGGCCCGGCTGTCTGCGACAGCGACCACTTCCGGGGGGGGGGGGGAGGGGGTCTGCCAGCCGGAGCCTCTAGACAGGGCACGCCCAGGAGGGGAGGGCCACCTCCTCCTCCTCCTCCTCCTCCTCCTCCTCCTCCTCCTAATCATCCATTCCATCTCTTCATAAAGAGCTCCTCCCTGTCGCACCGCGAGACTGGTCGGAAGGGCGGGAGGGGCGCTTCACCTGAGACTTCCTTATCACCGACGATCCTGAAACTCCAACACTGGCAATGGCTTCACTCATTGAGGGCGGGTGGTTTGCGAAACGTGGCTCTCGCATGGGCGCCGAGCACATTCGTTTCGAAAGATGGCAAGAATTGCACGGATTGATGGCGGGTGGTTTCCAAAACCAAAATGTGGCTCTCGCATTAGCGCCGCGCGCATTCGTATTAAACATGTGCAAGAGTTTGGCGGATTGAAGACGAGCCGGTTTCACTGAGTGACCCTCCCTTTATCGCCGAACACATTCGTCTTAGAAACATTGCAAGAGCTTGGCGGGTTGAGGGCGGGCTGTTTCCAAAATGTGGCCCTCGCCTTGGCGCCGCACACCTTCGTCTTTGAAACATTGCAAAACGTTGGCGGATTGGGGGCGGCTCCTTCTCAACATGTGGCACCACACACGTTCTTGATAACGGATATGCAAGATTCCAAGGGTTCCCATGGTTAACGTTTCAGACTCGTATCCGGAACGAGTCAGGATTGCCAACACGTCGCAGTTAGATTGAGTCGCGGGGTTGAAGTCCCAGGAATTGCGTTCTGGCACGATTCGAGATCGTCAAGACGCCGTAATCAGGTGGATGAGCCCATGGGGCAGGGCCTAGAACGAGGGGAGCCGGAGGAGGAGCATACGGCAGGGAGGAGAGGTCAGGATTAGGTGGCGACATCCGAACCCTATGCCAACCAACCATCGATTCGCATAACAATGGGAGGCGGGGGTAGGGTTCGGATTTCGCCACGTGCTCGACGAATTCTGAGCCCCACTCCCGCCGCCCAACGAGTTGCCAGAGTCGTTGACCGGCGAGGACAGGGTTGGGAATTCGCCGCCGAAGGATGGGCCGCCAAGCGTGCTCAGATTAAGCACCCCGTGCAAGCGAGTTCTTTCGGCTAACGCGCCCAGGGGAAAGGATCGAGAGGAGTGCGGCGTAGACTGGGACGCGCAGAGACGTACTAATACTATATGTCCTCCTTGGAGGCGCGCGTCCGACCCAAACATATAGCATACCCATCTTGTAGTATATGATTTCCCGAGCGGTGTGGCCAAGCGCCCGCCACGGCGCATATACTATAAGAGTTCTCGGTGCGCGCGTCGCCCCTGGGGGCGCGACGCACACATAGTAGAAGCATGCTGGGGTGCCGCCGATGGACACCCGGGACGGCCCTGGCTTGCTCGCCACACCTCGCGCAGCGCGCTCCACGATGCGCCCTCGCGCCGGTCTTCGCGCCCCCTCGGGCAAGCGAGGCCAAGCGAGCGAGCGTGGCACATGTCCTGCCCCCTCGGCTCTCAGACCTGGAGGCCGCCGGGGAGGGAAAGCAGGGGCCTCGAGGGGGCGATCCAGTGCAGTTTGTCCCAAGGGCAGCTCAGAGCTGCCAGCGTGAAGCATGAAGCAGCTGGATCTTCGCACCGCGAGGTCGAGGAACCACCCGCAAACCTGCTGGGGGGGGAGTCAGGAGGGAGGAGGACACCGAGGAAGGAGGACGAGAAGGAGGGACGAGCCTCGTCCCTCCTTCTCGTCCTCCCTCCCCCCATACCTACCTCGCCCTCCTCGTCCGACGAGGGAGGGAGGAAGGGGAGGAGGAGAAAGGAGGAGGAAGGATGACAAGACGGAGAGGCCGGAGGGAGGAAGGGATAGAGGAACTAACCAACTGCATTAACAAAAACCTGTGACGTCCGCGCAAATTTCTTGGATCTGCGCTGGACCACCACTTCTGGCGCGCGGAGCGCGCCAGGGGCGGCGCCGAAGGGGCGCCGCCAGGGGGGGCCCGCGCGAGGTGCCAGAAGTTTGTGCTCATGCCGTTTATTGGACGCCCAAGTTATCCGGGGTAGCTCGGGTCCGGGGAAACTCGGGCTTGGATTCCCGAAAAAGGAACCCGAGTTACCCCTGACCCGACTTACCCCGGATGATTCGGGGCTCTGGACGCCCGAATTATCCGGGGTAACTCGGGTCCGGGGTAACTCGGGTTCGGACTCCCGAAAAAGGAGCCCGAGTTAGCCCTGACCCGAGTTACCCCCGATGACTCGGGGCTCTGAGTTTATGCTCCTTCGAAGGAGGGAGGGAGGGAGGGAGGAGGGCGGGGAGGAGGGGGAGGAGGAGGAGGAGGAGGAGGGAGGGGAGGGGGGAGGGAGGGAGGGAGGAGGGGAGGAGGAGGGGAGGAGGGAGGAGGGAGGAGGGCGGGGAGGGGGAGGGAGGGAGGGAGGAGGGAGGGAGAGAGGGGAGGAGGGGAGGGAGGAGGGCGGGAGGGCGGGGGAGCAGGCGGGGCGGGACGGGCGCTGGCGCCAATGGGGGGCGGCACCTCGAGGACCGCCAGGCGCCGCGCCGCCTCGAGCGCCGCCGCGGAGGCCTTTTGCGAGGGCGCCGGCGCCCAGCGACGCCGACGCCAACGACGACGCCGACGCCGACGCCGACGCCGACGCCGACGCCGACGCCGGCGCCGACGCCGACGCCGACGACGACGCCGACGGCGACGGCGACGCCGCCGACGACGACGACTGCGACGACGACGACGACTGAGGACGACGATGGCGCCGACGCAAGTGGCGAAGCAGACGACGACACAAGAAATAATGCGCGAAGGATATATCCTCGTCCTTTTTCTCCTTCTCTCCCTTTTCTCCTCCTCCTCTTCCTCCTCCCTCCTCGTTTTCCTCCTCCTCCGGCTCCTCCTGCTTTCACTTCCCACCGTCCTGCCCTTCCAACCTCCTCACCCGAACAACCTCCTGGGGATACGCAAAAGTGTGGAGAAGGACAGTGGAAGCGCGCTCCCGAAATCACCAACCCTTCTTCATGATTACAGACGCGCACGACCAACCAACCAGCAAGCAATCGAGATCAACTGCCAACCGTTAAGGTTTACAAAACACACTCAGCATAGTTGCCAGCCAGCCATCCGAAACAAACAAACAGCCAAATTACCCACCAAACGTGGTTATGCGAGCAATTATTGGGGCGCTACCAGCAAGAGGCGGAACTCGTCGTATTAGAATCGCCGGCGCCAACACAATCAAACCCGCCTGAAGGCAGCGCGGTACTATAATCCCACCAGCCCTCTGGGCGTAGCTGGTCTAGGGATGTTCCTCTTCCAACCCCCTTCTTCCCCTTCGGGGAGGAGCTCATCCCTCCCCCCGCCCCCTCCCCTGGACCTGGACGGGGCGCCCCGCGAGGTGTCAGAGAGTACTTGTTCGCCCGAGATGACCCCAACATGGCTGAAGATAACCCCAGATGCCTCAAGTTGGTTCCCAAGATGCTCCCAGAGGCCCCAAGAACGCTCCACGACGGCTCCAAGACGCCTCCGAGATCTGCAAGGAGGCCTCCAAGAAACGAAAATCCTTCCAACACGTAGTGGGAACCACTTGTTGTTGCTTTCTCGCCCTTTCGCTTCCGATGACCATCCGAGGCCTTAGGATGGCTCCGCGAGCGCCCAAGCGAGCCCCAAAAGGGGCCCAAGAGAGCCCCAAAACGGCCCCACGAGCGCCCAAGAGCGCTCCAAGAGCGCCACAAGAGGGCCCAAGAGGCGGTTTCGGGCTCACTAGACTGGCGAGGCTGGTTGGAACGCCCCTTTGTTTGCATCGATCCCTTCCAAGATGGCCCGAACAGCGCTCCTAAGGCACCGAAGAGCGCCCCAAGAGGGCCACAAGAGGCCCCCAGGAGGCCCCAAGGGGCGCCCGAAGGGCCTCCAAGAGGCCCCCAAGAGATCCCCAAGACGCCTCCATAGGGCACCCGAGGTACCCAAGACGCTCAAAGAGGCTCCCTGGCCGCCTCGCCAGGGCATCGTCTCTGGATGGGTTGGTGGGGTTACTCTTTTTGATCGCGACCGCACCGAGACAGTCGGGCGGCGTCCAGGAACGATGCGCGCGAGCACCGACCTAAATTCGCGCATAGGAGAAGGAGAGGCGAAAAGAGACAAGACCAATGGGGGAGAGAAGCAAACAGGAGGGTTTGTGGGTTTTTTGTCGCAACCGCAGGCGAGAGCGCCAGCGGCGAGCAAAGGTCCGAGCGGGCCGCGCAAGAGCCTAATTGCCCAACGCCGACGGGCCAACGACCTAAGAAGCACCTAAGCGGGCAGGCCGGCGTGAGGGGGGGTGCGGGCTGCAGCTGCCAGGAACCAGGGCCAGGAGCGCGCCCATGCACACGATTAACCAACCAGGGTTGGAGCGCAGCCAAAATGGCGCGGGGGTGGTACCAGGATGTGGCCAGGAAGGCAACCAACAGTACACTGCATCAGATGCCAGGAGACCATACTGGTTGGTGGGTTACTTTTTTGGTTCGCGGCTCCAAGGCGAAGGACAGGGAGCGAGCACAACGTCCGGGGCGCATGACGATGTAAATTGGCCTCAGAGGCGAATGCACGTGCCAGGGACAAAATGACAATCACTAAGACGCATACTGCGTCGGCAGGAGACCGGCCCAGACATCCCGGCAGGTGGGGACGCAGGCGCGGCGACCGGCGGCGGAACGGGGGGGAGAAGTCGCCCTGGGGTTACGCGAAGCGTCTAGAATAGATCTTCCTCACCCCCTCCTAAACTTACAGCTAGCGTGCTGTACATATTGATGTGAGTAAGCGAAGTCGGCGAGTCTTGTTTGGGCAAGGTACCGAACAACTGATGCATAACACTTGTGTCAAATCTTGAGTGCAAACGATCCAAATCAGCACATCAGATACATTGTCGTGCCCATGCCAATTTAGCCTCGTTGTCCCTAGTAGCTGGCTCAACAAGTACTTGCAACCATGCCACATCATGTGTAGTCAAGCCGGCAGAGGGGGAGGCAAGTCGGGCGGGTGGTATTGGGGGGTGGCCTAAGTGTGTGGTGCAGGCAGGTCGTTCAATGTGCCCTCGAGGGTCCCTTTTTGAGCCAACAGGGGCCAAAAAGAAGCCCTAGCCCTCTTTTTCATCCCCCACTAAGTGTCACCCCACAGTACCACCCGCCCGAGAAAGGACAAGGATCGCTGGGTTGCGAGAACGACGAGGAACGGGGAAGGGCAGATGGCGGTGAGAAGCTGGAGCGGACGAACAGGTGGAGGGTCATGGACAAACAAGAGGACCGCCGAATTTAGGACGGGTCTGATGTCATGTTAGGATGAGATCAGGATGCGTTCCAGTTTGTCCAGGGTATCTGGCAGTTCTCGTTTCTGCAGCCCCTGTGGAACATCAAGAATCCTGGAAATCCTGGAGATTGTGGACACACATCATTATCATGACATACTGCTCATCTGACAAATGAAGCTCGCTGAAGACAACTAGTTCATGAGCTCACGGGAGCGCCAATAGGCTCACTGACTGCATGCACAAACTGCCTTCAAAAGAGAGGCGACGACCGTGAGAGAAGGCACCGCGGCGTGCGCACGCCTCCTTTGCTCGGAGCCTCTCCGCCTCGATCTCCTCTGGCGCAAAGGGGCGGGCACCACGAAGGCGCTGCGGCGGGGCCGAGATCATCAGAGGCACTCGCTCGGGCGTCCATGTCTTGTGTATGTTTTGATTTCGTGCGCTAATTTGTCGGAACTGATTCAACATGCTCCTCGATGGTCCTCACCGAAGAAAACAATCACACGTCCGAGCGATGTGAATCATCCGACCCGACACTGTTCGCCGACAACGACCCTGGCCAGGCCAGCCGGGGCCAAAGTGCCGATGCAAACGCCCTTCAGGATCAGACAGGAAACCGTGGCATGTTACTGAACGCGCCCGCTCGTGGACGGTCCGCTGGCCCCCTTTGGGGGCCAACAGGCTGCAAGGCGGAGGCCAACAGGCCGCAAGGCGGAGGTTCGTTCATCTGTCCCCACAACAGCTCCAATTCACATTGCTATACGCGTAGATGTGTCTATTAAGAACCCGATGTTGTGATAATTGAGGTCTGCGCGGAGCGGGGGGGGGAAGCGAATTACGGTGCACTCGCGTTCCTGAAACCAAATAAGTTTCTCGACGTTCCCGCGCTTGTTCTGCGAACCCATAACTTGTTACGTCTTCCACCGCATCGTGTTGGCGATGTTAACGCTGATGGAAACAATGATGATTATGACGAGGACGATGCCGAATGAAACAGCGAGTCTCTCTCTCTCTATCCTTTGCGAACCTCTTTGTGCCGATGTTAAATGTATCGTTTGATATGTCCCAGCTTCTATTATGTATCAGTCGGTGTTCTTGCATGTTCCTCCTCGTCCCTTCTATCTCTCCAGCAAGTGGGATGGGGGTAGCGATTGCTCTTTCTCTTTCTCTCTCTCTCTCTCTCTCTTCCTCTCTCTCTCTCTCTCTCTTACTCTGCATGCACACTACGGATGGCGGAAATCGTTAGGGCAGCGGTTGCTCTCTCTCTCTCTCTCACTCTCTCTCTCTTTGTTTCCCTTTCTTCCCACGTTTTCCACGCAACGCAGAATGGGCAATGAGAATGAGCCGCAGTTACCCCACACAATTACGCCTCACACCCTCCACGGTCAACGCCGACGACATCGGACGGGGGGCGTGGTTTCTTCCTCCGTGTTTATGCATATCTCTGTCTCTCTCTCTCTCTCTCTCCCCCTTTTCTCTCTCTCTCTCTCTGTCTCTGTCTCGCTCTCGCCCACCACTTTTCTCCGTGCGCAACGCAGAAACCGAGCTGGGAGGCGAAAGCGGCTGCTCCTGCGTGGAGGGGGCGAGAGGTTTTTTTGTTTTTCTTCAAAAACAATAAACAACACTGAAACGAGAACCACATGAAAAAAATATATCCACCGTACATCCGCGTGTGATTGTTGGAATGTTGAAATAAATGCGCGTCGCTGGAGCGTGAACCACATTACGAAAGAGCGTTTTTTTTCGGCGATCACGAGCGTGAAAGGGGGGGGCGGGGGGTGTACGTCGTACCCCCCCCCCGCCGTGTGGCTCCGGAACCACAACCGCGCCCGCGCGCACGACGACGATGAGCGACGAGCGACGAGCGACGAGCGACGGGCGACGAGCGACGAGCGACGACGACGGGGGCATGTAAAATAGTAGCGCTTCCGCGTGCATGCGCGCGAAAACCACAACAACGGGCCACGAGCCACGACCAGTTCAGCGCCATCTGCGCGCGCAAACCTGCCTATGCGCACCACCAGGCCTGCGTGCACCTCTGGAACGCGATGGGGTCCCGACGGGAACAAATGCCAGAAAATTGTGAGGGCGGCCGAAATTATACAATTCGATATGCGAACTGATTGTGTTTTCTTGTCCTGCGTGCCATCTTGCACTTTGAACCCACGACGCCCGTGCACGCCATGGTCACTGCGTGCACCACAATGCCCGTGGAAAGGAATGGCAAGGAATGCGGAAGAACGGGAACGGCAGGCAATGGTAGCGCTTCCGCGAGCACCACAGCGCGTGTGCACGCGAGCCACAACCAGGGGCCACGAACCACGACCAGGGATCCAAAACTGGCGATGCGGAAGAAGAGGGGGAGGGGGAGAAAGGGGGAGGAGGAGAAGGAGGAGGAGGAAGAGGAGGAGGAGAGTGAGGAGGAGAGGGAGGAGGAAGAGTTCTGAACGGGAACACCAAATCACAATTTCGGATCCCTATGCGGGTACCACTGCGGGTCCCTATGCGAATCCCCACGCGGATCCCGAAGCGGATCCCTATGCGGATCCATGCGCGGATCCCGATGCGGGTCCCGAGGCGGATGCCTATGCGGATGCCCGCGCGCGTTGTCACGCGAATCTTCATGCGGATCCTCATACAGATCTTTGCGCGGATCCCTATGTGGATCCCTATGCGGATGCGCATGCGCATCCCGATGCGGATCCCCATGACATTTCCAATGCGCACCACGACTTCGACGCGGATATTTATGCGGACGCCTATGCGGATCCTGATGCGCACGGCGGCATTGCCCGGAACGCACGGGGGGGGGAAGGGGGGCGTTATGTCATAGGGGGGACGGGTGCTATAACGCCCGCGTGCCCCAAACAATTTTCGTACATACGATGAAAGAGAACCCTCCTCCATACGTGTAACTGCTGGAATTTCTCAGGGCGAGTGCGCGCGACTCTAAAGCAAAACCAATTAGCCTGGCGAAGGACCCAACCATATGCAACTGTGAATACCGCAAGTGTGAATATCGTTTTCGGCGGCGCTACCTCTGGGTAGTGGAGACGCATGCGAACAACCCCACTGGGGCCTTCGGTGGAGCTCCCCATGGGGCTACGAAACGCTGCCCTAGGTGGGGGAACCGCATGCAGGCAGCCCCACTGGGGCCTTCGGTGGAGCTCACTGTGGGGCCACGAAACGCTGCCCTAGGTAGGGGAACCGCATGCGGGCACCCCCACTGGGGCCTACGGTGGGGCTCTCTCTGGGGCTACGAAACGCTGCCCTGGGTGGGAAACCGCATGAGGGCAGCCCCACTGGGGCCTTCGGTGGAGCTCCCTCTGGGGCTACGAAACGCTGCCCTGGGTGGGGGAACCGCATGTGGGCACCCCCACTGGGGCCTTCGGTGGAGCTCCCTCTGGGGCTACGAAACGCTGCCCTGGGTGGGGGAACCGCATGTGGACACCCCCACTGGGGCCTACGGTGGAGCTCCCTATGGGGCTACGAAACGCTGCCCTGGGTGGGGGAACCGCATGTGGACACCCCCACTGGGGCCTTCGGTGGAGCTCCCTATGGGGCTACGAAACGCTGCCCTGGGTGGGGGAACCGCATGTGGACACCCCCACTGGGGCCTTCGGTGGAGCTCCCTCTGGGGCTACGAAACGCTGCCCTGGGTGGGGGAACCGCATGTGGACACCCCCACTGGGGCCTTCGGTGGAGCTCCCTATGGGGCTACGAAACGCTGCCCTGGGTGGGGGAACCGCATGTGGACACCCCCTCTGGGGCCTTCGGTGGAGCTCCCTCTGGGGCTACGAAACGCTGCCCTGGGTGGGGGAACCGCATGCGAACACCCCCACTGGGGCCTTCGGTGGAGCTCCCTATGGGGCTACGAAACGCTGCCCTGGGTGGGGGAACCGCATGCGAACACCCCCACTGGGGCCTTCGGTGGAGCTCCCTATGGGGCCACGAAACGCTGCCCTGGGTGGGGGAACCGCATGCGGGCACCCCCACTGGGGCCTTCGGTGGAGCTCCCTATGGGGCTACGAAACGCTGCCCTGGGTGGGGGAACCGCATGTGGACACCCCCACTGGGGCCTTCGGTGGAGCTCCCTCTGGGGCTACGAAACGCTGCCCTGGGTGGGGGAACCGCATGTGGACACCCCCACTGGGGCCTTCGGTGGAGCTCCCTATGGGGCCACGAAACGCTGCCCTGGGTGGGGGAACCGCATGTGGACACCCCCACTGGGGCCTTCGGTGGAGCTCCCTATGGGGCCACGAAACGCTGCCCTGGGTGGGGGAACCGCATGTGGACACCCCCACTGGGGCCTTCGGTGGAGCTCCCTATGGGGCCACGAAACGCTGCCCTGGGTGGGGGAACCGCATGTGGACACCCCCACTGGGGCCTTCGGTGGAGCTCCCTATGGGGCTACGAAACGCGTGAGAGGTGTGCCGAGAGCAGAGGCAAGGAGGGGGAGGAGGGAGGAGGGGGAGGAGGAAGGAGAGGAACGCGGGGCACCGTCTCTTCAAAACGAGGACCCAACACCACAGGATGGTTGGGAAAAAACATGGTGAAAGCCACCCTTTACTATCCGCGTAATTGCTAAAAGCGCTGAACACAAATGCGCGCGGCAATGAGGCCGTGGCCAGATTCACCCCCCCCGTCCATCTGGGTAGGTGCAGGACACCTGTCAGGTGGATGCGCACGGCGCTAAGGCAACAACGACATTTCATTTTGAAAGCAGTTCCCCCTGCAGCCGTGTAGGTGTAAGAGACTTCGCGCTTCGAAAGCATCACAGGAGCGAAAATGTCGCGCGCAACGCCCGGCCCGCCGTTGACAACACGCCTGGTGGTCAGAGGGGGAACTCTCAAATATGGAAAAAGACGGCGAAGAAGCAGGGGAAACAAAAACAAGAAAAAGCGCTCGGGTGGTGTGTCGCCTTCCACCCGGGTGGTCTGTTTTCTCCCACCTGGGTTTTTTTTCCCGCGCTCACAGGCTGGGCGAGTGCCTCGCGACCACCTGCTGACCCCCTCAGTCCTGCCTGGCACCACCGGGGCACGGCGGGGCGGGCGCTCTCTCGACCCAGCACGCGACACGACCCACGACTCCCCCAGGCTTGGCCTCCACGTGCCTCCTTGATGACCCCTCCCCCCCTTCTCGTGGCGGGCCCGAGTGCGACCGACGGCCGACTCGCCTGGCCAGGGCGGACACCAAACCTCAAAGGTGTGTCCGGTGCCGCGGCCACGGCTGCAGCAGGACAGGGAACCCCACCGCTGCCGGGGAGGCGTTCGTCGTCGTCGTGAAGCCGCCGCCTGCTGCGCCACCTCCAGGCACGACCGCGCCTCCGCCAGCTCCGCGGCGTCCTCGGGCGGCAGGAGGGAGGGGGGGCGACATGGTGGGCGAGGAAGAAGGGAACGGGATGAGAAGGGAGAGAGGAGGAGGGGGGAAAAAGGGGGAACAGGAGGCGGGAAAGAGGAGAAGAGGAGGAGGAAGACTATGAGAAGGCGAAAGAGGAGGAATGAGGATAAGAGAGGCTGCGGCAAGCCAGGTGCACTGAAACCACATCTGGCATCCTGTCCATTCCTGTCAGGTTTCCCGGATTCCCAATCCAGATGTTGAGTCGGACCTTGATCGTTGGATCGTATGCGCAGTGCCACGGGCTTGGGCGCCAGGCGAAAGCATGGAGAAAGGGATGCTAGGGTCCAAGAGGGCGGAAAAGGGAGAAGGGGGAAAAAATTAAGGGAGGGCGACCAGGAGGAGGAAGAGAAGGAGGAACAACGACGTCCACATGGGCAAGTCGGCAACAGAAACGACGACGAACGCCGTGCGCGCCCCGCGGGTCCCGAGAAGCCCACTCTGGAGGTGGCGGCACCGCCAAAACCCGCGAGAGAGACGCCCCCTGCGCTGAACAGCATCAGGGGAGAGGGGGAAGTAATACTCACATGGAGTGACGCTTGGGAGTTGCTGGACACGTATGCGACGATCCACAAGCAAGCGCGACACTACCACACCAGCACAGCACTACTACGCAGCATTTTGTCTCGGGAAGTGGTCCTCAATTCGGCGGCGAGCCCACTGGGGAAGTGAGAAGGGGCGGACCTTCTCAGAATAGGGGCAGGCGTGTGACGGGCGCCGAGGCAAGAGCACCCGTCAGTCCCGCCGAAGACGGACCGACATAGCGTAGGAGAACACCGTGCCGAATACGGTCCGACATCACGTAGCAATACACACAACAATGGTTGGAATCCTTTGTGCAGTGTTCCCACAGTCTTGTCGAAGTGGCGAAACTAAGCACCTACCTTGGGTAGGCCTTCGTCGGCAGGCATGGGATGGTGGATATCCCAGCCAGGATGCCATCCTCGCAAGAGGAGCGCCTCAGAGCAACTTCCCTTCAACTCTCTCGAACTGAAAACCAGCCCAACCACTCCACTTCTCTCCAGGGTCTTTGGAGGGAGGGAACAGCGAAGAGGGGCGACGAGAATGGCTAGGCCCAATAAGACCACATGACACCCTTTCTTCGGGACGGCATCAGAACCGATGAGGCCACAGGATACTCTCGCTTCGGGACAAGCGTGGGTCAGAGCCTAAGAGGCCGCTGGACATGTTTGCTTCGCGACGGCATCTGCTTCGCGACGGCGTCTCCCTAGTTGCGACACTCCAGCCAGCTCGCACCCGGGAAACTGTGCAGGATGGCAAAGACTGTTGTTATGACAGGAAACCAGCAGTACGCGGGAAACGCGGTCGCCGCACTGGACAGCATCCGCAGAGGAACCAACAACAACAGAAACAAGCACTGCTGCTGCACGTCCTCGCGGAGTGCTCGGACCCGCGCCGGACCCGCTCCCCTGGCGAAGCGGGGCGCGCCAGAGTGTTGGTGCCAGCGGCGCCGCCAAGGGGGGCGGCCCAGCGCCGATCCGAGACATCCGCGGGGGGCAGCCGACAGATGGCGCCGTGTCGTCTTCGAATGCCGCCCAGGGCCGTCCAGCAAGCGCCAATTATCGGGGTCGGGGTGCGTAGGGCGACGAGATCTATGCATATCCACTGCTCCTGGCCAGGCCAATCCTGGGCCCAGGAGCGGTGTATACGCCCTCCTGGCCTGGCCAGGGAGGCATATACACAGCTCCTGGGCCCAGGATGGGCCTGGCCAGGAGCAGTGGATATGCATAGATCTCGTCGCCCTAGGTGCGGAGTAATCGTTGGGTGGTGGTGGATCGCGGGCGAGGGGTGCGGCAGGCAGCGAGGCGAGCGTGCCCCCCCGGGGGCAGCCGAAGACGAGGGTGCGCGAAGCTGACTGTCCGGATGAGTGCCGGGTGCGTGCAAGACCCGTGCCCGTGGTATTCAAACGCCACGGATGAAACTGACTGTTGCGTCTTGACGACCCTGAATCGTGCCAGAACGCCGTTCCTGGGACCTCAACTCCGCGAATCATCTTAACTCTTGCGCCCTCATACTCGCAAATCCTTCCAAAACGTCATTTCTGGTACGTCGGTCTACTGCCGCCTGGAGTGTCGGGCTCTTTTCTTCAGGAGCCCGAGGCGCACTGGACGCAGATGAAAATCTGAACCCTAGGGGCTCGAGTGTTATCCGTATCAGGTGCACCTCGCCTTCTGGCGCCCCTTTCAAGACAGACCAGGACGCACTGGATATGGATGGAATCTCGCCCGCACCAAAGGCAGACCCGACACAAACATGTGACGAGGACCTGTCTATAAACACATGCCAAGGAGACCAATGATCGAGCTGGAATTGAGTTCGCGGATAAGTGCCGTCCCGTCTGGTTCGTTGTTCATCCAGCGTCGCCGTGTGAACTGCTTGCGCTTGTCCATGGATCCTTACTCTGGAGGACCATCCCTAGCTTTGAGCTAGCCTCCTGCTCCCTGCGTTTCCTCCTGCACTCCTCCCCTCCTGTTTCTCCGCCGAAGTGCCGCTCTCTAGCTATTCTTGACGCTTCGCGTATCCCCACCAGCCCATCCAGAAACGACGTCCAGGCAAGTTGAAGAGATCAGGGAAGTGGGGGAGCAACGAGAGGGACAGCCGATCCGTGCAAAGGATGAGGCGGAAGAGGAGGCCAGATGGATAGATGAGGGGGTGGCGAGGAACCGAGCGAAGGAGGGATGAGGAGAATGATGACGCTGGGTGGATGGTTGAATGCCGCTCGGATGCCTCTTGGAAGCCTTTTGGAAGCCTCTTCGGGCGTCTTGGGGGTCTCTTGGCGGTCAATGGGGGCTCTTGGGCGTCTTGGGTGCTTCGGGGGGGCCTCTTGAGGCCGCTTGGGATCCTCTTGGGGGGCTCTTGGGGGCCTGTTGGAGGCCTCTTGGGGCCTCTTGGGGGTCTCTTGGAGCTTCATGGCGGCCTCTTGGAGCCTCTTGGAGGCCTCTTGGAACCATCCTGGGAGCCTCTAGGAGCCTCTTGGGGACTTCTTGGGGCCTCATGGCGGCCTCTTGGGGCCTCTTGGAGGCCTTTTGGAAGCCTCTTGGGGTCTCCGGGGCGCCTCTTGCGGCCATCTTGGAGGAGATCGATCAAAGAAGAGGGTGGAGTTAATTAGCCTTCCCCCCTCCAAGAGGCCAAAATTGGGCCAAAACCCTAGTAAAACCGATGATTTGGGCTCCCTCGCCGAGGCCGTTTTGGACGCTCTAACTACCAGCGGCCCCCCCCGTCCAAGTCCAGAGGAGGGGGTTAGGGGGAGGGGTAAGCCCCTCCCCGAAGGGGAAGGAGGGAAGATGGAAGAGGAGACTCCCGGAACCACCTACGCCCAGAGGGCTGGTGGGACTTTCCAATTGGCTACCCTTGCATAGTCGCCGTCCTTGCCCATCGTTCTCGCCTGTGTGACGCTGTCGCATCCCCTCTTCTCTTCATCTTGCGATACGCTCACCTCTGCTGCAGGATGCACCGCCACGACATCCGAGATCCTCGTCCCTGCAATTCCCACACAAAGGGGGGGGGCCTCTGATGGAAGGGGGCCCTGGAGCTTTTTCTTCGTTCGCGGGTTCCCGGAGCCCCTGAACCTTCGACAGGCTATCTTCAGGATGAACTCGTCCACGGGAAAAGCCCCGAGGGCCCAGGACCCGTTTCCCGCAGGACCGCTTCCATTCATGCCAGTGTTCGTCCTGGCGCCCGATCCAGCCGAGGCAGCACCAGAACGTCCACCAATTCGCGCTCGTACCCCCCCAAACCCTCGTTCGTTACAACCGGGTGCCTAAATAGGAGCACGCGGCAGATCCTCTCAATGCATTGAGGCAGCACTGAAGACGGACCAGGCATGTGAAAGATCGGCAGATCGGCACAGTCAACTTACAGATGGTGAAGAGGTAAAACGCTGCGGAAGCATCATAACAGCCCCCCAAGCTTGGAAGTCCTCACTGGCCGCCATGCGACGGTGGTGGCCAACCTCCATAATTGACAGTTGCGCTGCAATGGTGAGTGGCGTGTACAAGAATAAACAAGGCGTACAATAGCGCATAATTGGCACTGCGGCGCCGATTCAACTTTGCTCATAATCAGGCTGTGAACTGCGCCGCACGTACATCGTTTACACATGATCTACCTCAATTACCCACGCCCATTCCAAACACGACATGGATATGGCGTGTGCACGCGCTCGTGCGTGTGGAAAGGAAATTATCATACAACTGGAGCCTCCATGGAGCGACAGCTGCATCAAACGGAGACATCGATGGAGCCAATATTCATACGATTCTGAGAATGTCGGATCTGCCATTCCTCACGTCGCCTTTCTATCACATGGGTCAGTCAACTTGGTGAACACAGGCAGGAGACAATACGCCCGAGCAGCAAGAGACATGAGAAACCATCTAGCCCATGTGTCAATCTCTGTGCCGTAGGAACTGAGTGGAGTGTCCTCAGGTCCCTTCGAGTTCTCTGTTTGATGTTTGAATATTGCGAAAACTGTAAGAGCCCCCCATTCCCGTGTCCTAGGCGCTCTCGGGCGCTCTCAGGAATCACAGCCTTCACCTTTATCGAGACCATCAGCCCCAAGCGCAGTGCGGAGTTCCTGCTGGGCGCTCCCAGGACCCCCAAGCGCTGCAGGAGGGACCCCTGTGGGCCCGCGCCAACCTTCACTCCAGCGAAGGGTCACTCGTGCGAGTGGCTGGAAATGGGGAAACTAAAAGGTAATGATACTGCCACTTCCCGGACCTCTCCCAGGGTGCGTTCTGACCAAGATTTCGAGGCGGAGCCAGCGGTGGCGACGAGGGCCTCCGAGGAGGGCAGCGGTATGGGTACCTCCGCCTCCACTGCGGTAAGCCCCAGAGAGGACGAATCCTCCCTCGGCACGGGAGGCGAACGCCTGCGGAGAGGCGACCATGCGGCCGTCGCTCGTCCGCAGCGGGTCCACCAGCGAATCGTCCAGCTGGGCTCCTGCCGCGGGGGGAGTATATCACAGGGCGCGGGCCTCCTGCGCCTCCAGCTCCTGCCTGACGACGACGACGAAAGGTGACGCGTTGGACGAGGACGACGCCCTGGACGACGACGACGACGACGGCAACGACGACGACGACGACGACGCCTTGGACGGGGACAACGCCCTGGGCGACGACGACGACGACGACGACGACGACGACGACGACGACGACCTGGACGACAACGCCTAGCGAACGGCGGTCGGACACGGATATTGCTCAGGACGAGAGTGATGTCATGATGCGATCAGCTCAGGATGAGTCCTGGAAGTTCAAGGTTATCTGGCGGCCCTTACCACTGGCGCCGGCGCGGGACAGCAGGGAAGCAGAACCTGACGTCCTCGAACACATCACTGCCACGTGTTCGTTGCTCGTCTGAGCCTGGGTAACGCACGACGATGCGGCGATACCATGCGGTGGCTGACGCGGGCCGCCAGCGCGACGCGCCGCGTGGAAGCGAGGGCTCTCGCGGGCGACCTCACGCGGGCGGCTCAAGCGCGAAGTCTTGCGCGATGGTTGCCGGTGCATTTTTCGCCGATCGCCTGGGGCTCAGGGCGTCGCGACGGATCTGGCAGTCTGCCTTCAAGGATGGTCCCCGTGCCCTCAAGAGATCAAAACAAATAAAACTGCCCGCGACAAACAAAACATCGCTCCTCATGGTCATCGATCATCACCATCGTCGTCATCATCCGTGGCAGAAAGCCGATCCACGGGATTGCGCCCAGAGCTCCGGGGGGCCGACGAGCCGTAAGCACAGAAGAAACGCAAGCCAACTAGATGAAACGTCGTCATCATCATCAACATCATCATCCGAATACTTCGCATCAGCATCATCGTCGTCAACGACACTATCTTCACTATTGTTTTTATGATTGCGGTCATCGTCGTCACGGTACAAATCATCGACAGCATCGTCGTCTCAAGCATCATCGGCATCATCAATTTACTGCTCAAATTCACAATCAACATAATCATGCTGATCATCAGCATCATCAGCATCATCAGCTTCATCATCAGCATCCTCGTCCTCGCGATCACCATCATCATCAGTGCATCAACATCGGTATCAGCACCATCATCATCATCAGCATCATGAGCACAATCATCATCTGCATCATCAACATCATTATCAGCAGCATCATCATAATTGTCATCATCATTACCATCATCACAATCACCAGTATCAGCATGACCTTCTTCATACTCATCCGCATCATCAGCATCATCATCATCATACTCATCAGCACCATAATCGTCGTCATCATCGTCATCAACATCATCAGCGACATCATCATCCTTATCATCATCATCATCATCATCATCATAATCATGCCCATAACGTTCAGAAGCCTCATCATGATGATCATAATCATGATGCCCGTCGTTAGCATCGTCGTCATCATGGACATGGTCGTCATAGCGATCGTCATAATCGATGGCCTCCTCCTCATCATCATCATCATCATCATCATCATCAACGTGAGCATCATCAACGTCGTCACGATCTCAATATTCGCCGTCTGCCTCCTCCTCCTCCTCCTCCTCCTCATCATCATCATCATTGTCGTCGGCATCGCCGTCATCATCATCGCCTTCGTGGTCGGTATCGCCTTCGTCACAGGAATCGTCGTAATCACCATCGTCGTCGTTGTCTTCGCAATGATCATCATCAGACTCATCATCATAATCATCAGCATCGTCACCGTCTGCAGCATCATGGTACACATCATAACCACTGAAATCTCCACTGGACTCATCATCATCGTCGCGGCCTGGAGGACGTATCGAGCGCGGCGGCCGTCTCAGGGCGCTCAAGAACGCTCTCAGAGAGTTCTGGATAACTCTGGGGCGATTCATCGTCATCCTGGGGCTGCCTGGTCCTCCCTTCCCCCCTCTCTCGCCGCGGGGCTCTCGGCGTGACTGCAAACAGACGTGCGCGACCAGGGCCCAGCTGAGGAAACCCACGGGGCGCCAGCGGCGGCGACGCATCTTGGGGCACTTGGGGGCGGACGGCAACGGTACAGGAGGCGCTGGAATCGGAGGTGAGGGGGTGAGATCGAAGTGGAACGGAGAGCCCCCCTACCGGGAAATCGGTTTCGGTTTCGTGTTCGTGCGTGCCGTGCGTGCGGGCGAGGCGAAGCTGCGTGGGCGGGCAAGAAGTGTCCCGCCTCTGGCTGAGGCGCGGCCAGACCAAATGTGTCCTGTCCGGGGCCCAGTGGCGCGCGGTGTCACACTGGTGCCCCACCGGTGTCCCGTCGGTGTCCCGATGATGATGATGATGACGATGTTGATGATGTTGTTGATGATGATGATGATGATGATAATGATGATGATGATGACGGTGATGGCCATGGTGGTGATGATGATGTCCCGATGGTGATGGTGTTGATGATGCTGATGATGATGATGAAGGCGATGATGGCCATGTTTGTGATGATGGTGTCCCGATGATGATGATGGTGATGATGCTGATGTTGCTGATGATGATGGTGTCCCGATGATGATGATGAAGATGATGCTGAAGATGTTGATGATGAGATGATGAGATGATAATGGTGATGGTGTTGAAGATGATGATGGTGTCCCGATGATGATGAAGATGATGAGGTTGATGATGATGCTGGCGATGATAAAAACGGCGTCCCGATGATGATGATGATGATGATGATGATGTTCATGACGTTGATGATGTTGATCATGTGATGATGAGATGATGATGATGGTGATGAAGATGATGATGGTGATGTTGGTGTCCCGATGATGATGTTGATGATGATGACAAGAATGGTGTCCCGATGATGAAGATGTTGATGATGAGAGTGATGATGAGGTGATGATGATGATGATGATGATGATGATGATGATGATGTGTTTGATGGTGGCCCGATGGTGATGGTGATGATGATGTTGATGATGATGATGGTGCCCCGATGATGTTGATGCTGGAAAAAATTATGATGGTGAGGATGATGATGCTGTCCCGATGATGGTGATGATGATGTTGATGATGATGATGATGTTGCTGATGGTGATGGTGCCCCGATGATGATGATGATGTTGATGATGCTGCTGATGATGATTCTGGTGTTGCAATGATGAGGATGATGGTGTCCCGATGATGACGATGTTGATGATGCTGATGATTGTGACGATGATGGTGTCCCGATGATGATGATGATGGTAGTGGTGATGATGATGATGGCCATGGTGGTGATGATGATGGTGTCCCGATGATGATGGTGTTGATGATGATGATGGTGTTCCGATGATGATGATGATGCTGGTGATCCTGATGATGTTGATGATGATGCGATGGTGATATGATGATGATGATGAAGATGATGAAGGTGATGATGATGTCCCGATGATGATGGTGATGATGATGCGGTTGATGATGATGCTGTTGATGATGATGATGACGGTGGTGATGATGATGGTGTCCCGGTGATGATGATGTTGATGATGATGATGAGGCTAATGATGCTGATAATGATGATTTTGATGATGGTGGTCCGATGATGATGATGATGATGATGATGATGATGATGATGCTGATGTTGATGATGGTGTCCCGATGATGATGGTGATGATGGTGATGATGATGGTGTCCCGATGTTGATGATGATGTTGCTGACGGTGATGGTGTCCCGATGATGATGATGTTGATGATGTTGTTCATGATGATGATGAGATGGTGATGATGATGATGATGGTGTCCCGATGATGATGATGATGCTGGTGATGATGATGATGATGATGATGGGATGATGATGACGATGATGGTGTCCCGATGATGATGATGTTGATGATGATGGTGATGAGGTGATGGTGATGATGGCGTCCCGATGATGATGATGTTGATGATGATGATGATGATTTTTGATGATGCTGATGACGTTGATGTTGATGATGATGACGTTGATTGTGAGATCGATTGCGATATCGATAGTGAGATCGATAGTGAGACCGAATGTGAGATAGATGGTGAAATCGATAGTGAGATCGATAGTGAGATCGATTGTGAGATCGATAGTCAGATCGATTGTGAGATCGATCGAATAAAATAGATCGAGTCAGATCGATTGTGAGATCGATCGCGTGAGATCGATCGAGCGAGACCGATAGTGAGATCGATAGTGAGACCAATGGAGTGAGACGTTGGTTCCTCCCCCCCCCGAATCTCCTTATCACCCCAAGGGTGGTCGTATAGGTATAAAAACAAGAACTATGCGCAATACACCGATCCTGGCCAGGATCGGTGCATGTGCCCAGTTCTCGCCGCCGGAAACTAGAAGGCAAACTAACCACCCTCATAATCCGCCAACGTGCCCTTGGGCGGAGTGGGCGTGTCCTCAAGTCCCTTGCTCAATCCCTGTCCTTAATCGTGAAAAATATTGCAAGGCTCGGATTTGAACCTTCCGGGTTTTGACGCGCCAACCTTTGCGGAGCGGCACTCCGCTAGTTGGCGTCGAAAAAGGGGACGGCGCTCCGCTGATTGGCCTCGAGCGAACTAAGTACGATCGCGTCGCTCCCATTAGCCGAGCGGCGCTCCGATCATTGGCCTCGAACCAAGGAATTAGTGTCGCATCGCTCCCAGTGGCGGAGCGGCGCTCCGCTAAGTGACCTCGAACCAAGGAGTTCTTGTTTATTCGCTCCCATGAGCTCAGCGCGCTTTCGCCTCGCCCTCCTCTGGGAGACAAGGACCAGTCGCCAACTCTCTGGCCCCCAGCGACAGGGCCGGTCCTCTTCGGCCACGGCTGGTGACCCATCACGAGCAGCGAACATACGATCGGAGCTACGACATAAGAACATGCTTCAAGAACACAAGGCCCTCCGCTGGCCAAAACATACAGAACATGCGAGGCCCCACCCCCCCCCAGGATGCACAAGAACAGCCGACAAGCGCGAAGAACATTCGGGTACTTTCCCCGAGCCAACCTCGACATTATACCTCGGCCCAGCCGTTTATGTATCCTCGGGTGGGTGATTCTGAGGGGGATTGTTTTTTTAAAGATGTCCTCCTCCTCCTCATCCTCCTCCGTTTCCTTCTCCTCCTACTCCTCCTCCTCCTCGCCTGGCCCGCGAGGCCTCAGATACGTCGTGATCTGTTTCTCGCTCACGGACCTAGGAAACCTTACCGGGCACGACGAGGCCACACACCCGAAGCACAGGCTCGGCTTCGATGCGCCAATTTGGTTTCGCAGTGACCCCCCCCCCGCGCGGGGAGAGGCAAGGCAGAGGAAAGTGAGGAAGAGTGGGAGGGGAAGGCGGTCGGACTCGTTATTGCAGCAGCCTGCGCGCCGTCCTGCTGAAGGCCCTCACCCCGAGAACCAAGGGGGGTACACCTGCAGCCACCGCCACCCTCCCCAGCGAAGAGAGGCCCAGCCCTGCCTGAGCCTCAGGCGGACCAACGCAGAGATCCGAGTGGGCGGCGGACAGCGCGGAGCGCTAGAAACGGAAGTGCGGAACAAAAAGGGAAATATGCCGTCGGCCAGGAGAGGATGGATAGAGAAGAACAACCATCGAACATGCAATGAAGCTGCGCGCCTCACCATCTGGAGAGTAACCCTCCATGGGGGATCGTCACCTTGCTTGGAAGCAGTCGGTGTGATGATAGCGAGCGGACCGTACGAAGATCGATTGGCCGACTCCTCGGACCCATCAGGCCGCCAGCCGGCGAGCCCGAGAGAACATCGCTCGGAGGAGGGGGGGAGGAGCAGGAGGGAGGGAGGACCTGCACGCGACAGTGCCAGCGATCCCCGTCGCTCCGCTTCGCCCGAGCACTGGCGCGGGCGCGAGCCTCGGGGCCCTGCTCGGGGGCCCACTGCTCGAGGCAGCCCATCGCTCCTGAGTCGTCCCCGGGCGTCGTGGGCCTGACCAGCTTGGACGGGAACCAACCCGTGAGGTCGTCGCCCTCCTGGGGCGCGGCGCGCGCGCGAAGGTGGGGCTGCGGGGCGCCGCGCGGTCAGCCAGACATCCCGAGGATCGGCATACCGAGAGATAGAGAGAGAGAGAGAGAGCAACACACGAGGGCTGGAGGGCGGAGGCCCGAGGTTGCGGTTTGCTTGGGCGTGGGTCGGCGTCCAGCCCCACACCTCCCTTGAGGCAATCGCGGAGCGACGAAGGGGACTGACCGAGGGCCCCCAAACCAAAAACGAGCGGGGCGAGGACCAGAATGGTGCCATGCGCGATAGGACCGAGAAAACTGCCAGCGGAGGGTGGGGTATGAGGATGAGGAAGGGGGCTGGGGATGGGGGATGAGGGAGGGGAGGGGGAATAGGGATGGGGGGGGGAATGAGGAATGGGGCATGGGGGGATGGGGGATAATAGCGGGGATGACGACGGGAGGGGCGGGGACGAAGAGTCCCACCAGCCCTCTGGGCGCTGGTGGTTTAGAGCGTTTCCTCTTCCACCCCTCCTTCCCCTTCCGGAAGGGTTTATCACTGTTCCCTATTATTAAACACCCCCTCCCCCAGGCGACTGGGGGCCAACCCAAGTCCATGCCGACACCCCCCCCATTCCTGGTAAAAAAACAGTACAAAACACACTCTGCCTCCAAATTCGGAACATGCGCAGCCAACCCGATGCGGCCCCCCACCCACCATCCTTGTCAAAAAAACATACAGAGTACACTTGGCGGAGGCGGCGGCTGCGGAGGCTGCGGCGGCGGCTTCGGCGGCGGTGGCGGCGGCGGCGGCGGCTGCGGCGGCGGCGGCGGGGACGGCGGCGGCGGCGGCGGCGGCGGCGGCGGCGGCGGTAGCGGTAGCGGCAGCGGCTGCGGCGGCGGTTTGACAGCAGGGGGCGGCGGCGGCGGCGGCGGCGGCGGATTGGCCCCCAGTAGCTGCCCATCCAAAGACGACTGCTGAATATGCTGAGGCTCGGGCCAGACTCGGGTGCTACGTATGTGTTGGGGGGGCGGGTGGGAGTGAGCGGGACGGCTTGCGGGCGGGGAGGGGGTGACTTGACCCCTCCCCCTACCCCCGCCCCTGGACCTGGACAAGGGGGCCTCGCGAGTCGTCGGAGCGTCTAAAACGGCCTCGGCGAGGAAGCCAAAATCATGAGTTCCCAGCCATCATGTGGTGTTGGGTCTTCGCTTTGAAGAGACGTCGGTCGCCCTGCGTGCCGCTCCTCCTCTCCTCCTCCTCCTCGTCCTCCTCATCCTCCTCCTCCTCGTCATCCGCTCATTTCGGCACACCCGTCACACGTTTCGTGGCCTCACAGGGAGATCCACCGAAGGCCACACTGCCACCGCCCGCATGCGTCCCCCACACCCACTTCGGCACACCCCTCACACGTTTCGTGGCCCCACAGGGAACTCCACCTGAAGCCCCAGTGCCACCGCCCGCATGCGTCCCCCACACCCATGTCGGCACACCCCATCACACGTTTCGTGGCCCCATAGGGCGCTCCACCGAAGGCCCCGCCCCAGTGCCACCGCCCGCATGCGTCCCCCACACCCATTTCGGCACATCCCTCACACGTTTCGTGGCCCCATAGGGGGATCCACCGAAGGCCTCAGTGCCACCGCCCGCATGCGTCCCCCACTCCCAACTCGGAACACACCTCACACGTTTCGTGGCCCCATATGGCGCTCCACCGAAGGCCCCAGTGCCACCGCCCGCATGGTCCCTCAAACACATTTCGGTACACCCCTCACACGTTTCGTGGCCCCATGGGGAGCTCCACCGAAGGCCCCAATGCCACCGCCCGCATGCGTCCCCCACACCCACTTCGGCGCACCCCTCACACGCTTCGTGGCCCCATAGGGAGTCCCACCTAAGGCCCAAGTGCCACCGCCCGCACGCGCCCCCCACACCCATTTCGGCGCACCCCTCACACGTTTCGTGGCCCCATATGGCGCTCCACCGAAGGCCCCAGTGCCACCGCCCGCATGCGTCCCCCACGCACAATTCGGCACACCCCTCACACGCTTCGTGGCCCCATAGGGAGTTCCACCGAAGACCCCAATGCCACCGCCCGCATGCGTCTCGCACACCCATTTCGGCACACCCCTCACACGTTTCGTGGCCTCACAGGGAGCTCCACCGAAGGCCCCAGTGCCACCGCCCGCATGCGTCCACCACACCCCCTTCGGCACACCCCTCACACGTTTCGTGGCCCCACAGGGGGCTCCACCGAAGGCCCCAATGCCACCGCCCGCATGCGCCCTCCCCTCCCAGTGCAGCGTTTCGTGGCCCCATAGTGAGGTCCACCGACAGCCCGAGTGCTACCGCCCGCATGCGCCCCCTCCACCCAGTACAGCGCTTCGTGGCCCCACAGGGAGCTCCACCGAAGGCCCCAGTGCCACCGCCCGCATGCATTTCCCCCCACTCAGTGCAGCGCTTCGTGGCCCCATAGGGAGCTCCACCCAAGAAGATATTCACAACTGCGGTATTCACAGCTGCATATGGTTGGGTCCTTCGCCAGGATAATTGTATTGGGATGTTGGACTCACTTCGGCCTCCTGAGGGGGGGATTGTAACTCGTACCGCCCCTCCTGTGATCGATCTCGCCCAAGATGCCCTAATGATGCCCCCCAAGGCTCCCAAGGGTGCCCCAAGAGGGCCCCAAGAGGTGGCCAGGAAGCCCCTAGAGGCCTCCAGGAGGCCCCCAAAAGGCTCCCAAGAGACCCCCAAGAGGCCCTCCAGAGGCACCCAAGACGCGCCAACAGGCCCCACCGACAATGCCAAAATCGCTGATGTTACTTAGGTGTTTGGCTACATGTTGGCCTCCTGGGGGGGGCACTGCTTCAGATGACTCCAAGAGCGCCTGGGAGGAGCCAAAGATGATCTTCAGTATGGCTTAAGATATCGCAAGATGCCTCAAGATGGCGCCCACGATGCTCCAAGAGGCCCCAAGACCGCTCCAAGACGGTTCCACGTGGCCAAAAAGCTCCCCCAGGATCCTTCCAAAACCTTAGGACAATCCATGCTTTTGGCTTTCTTCTCGCCGAGGCCTCAAGATGGCTCCAAGATGGCCCAAGAGGGCTCCAGGAACGCTCCCAAGGCTCCCAATAGCGCTTCAAGAGGGCCCCAAGAGGCGCCCAGGAGGCCCCAGGAGGCCCCAACAGGCGCCCAAGAGGCCTCCAAAAGGCTCCCAAGAGACCCCCAAGAGGCCCCAAGAAACTCTCCGAGGCACCCAAGACGGTTTAAGAGACGTCCGGGGCCGCCAAGAGGCCCCCAAAACGCTCCAAGAAGCCTCCACTGGGGGACCCTTCCTCTGTGTGCTGCCCGCTTCCCTGATCGAGGCAATTACTCTGGGCATCGTTTCTGGATGGGCTGGTGGGGATTCTTTTTGGTCGGCGGCCGCTCCGCTACGGTCTGGCGGCGACAGGCATGTCCGGGACGGCGGTGCAAGCTACTTCCACACAAAGCGTGCGGTGCACGTGCACTGAGCAAAATGCTCCACATTCGCAGTGACGCACCTAGGCGCCGCCCGGTCCAGAGAGAACGAGCGAACAGTGGTGCGAGTGCTACGGAGGAAGTCGCCCTTGCGGCGCCAAGCTCCGAGCATCTCCCCAGACAAACAACTGGCACCGGCCCGGGGGACCGGCTGCTGGCGGTGGAAAGCAAGGGGCCGGCGCTGAAGGCTGGACCACTCAGCGCGCAGCCAGCGCACACCACCTGAGATTTGTTGGGGCTGTCTGGTGGGGATTCGCGAAGCGTCAACAATTTATGTTCGTCCCTTGCCGTGCGAATGCCCAAGAACTGTAAACTTCACACACATACACATACACATACACACACATATATATGTATGTATATATATACCGCGGGTTTGTGCCGTGCTGGCCCCTGGCGTTGGTTCCTGACACCGCGGGAATCGTTCCAACCTTGAACGATCGGCCGGTTCCAACACGTCGGGTCGTTCAGCATCGACCGATTCTGGGTCGGCGGCGGCGTTCAATGTAGAACGCGGCGGCGGGGTCGCCACTGGTCGACACGACGCGAACCTACCGTATTTTATTCATCACCCAGGAGCTCTAGTGCTGATTGCATGCGTATAGCAGGCCCTCTGGGACTCAGGTCTGGTCTGTCGGGCGCTGCTTAATGGGGAGGACAAGTTAGGATGTGCACCTTGCATTATCCTTTCGGGCCCCAGAGTGCCTTCTTAGGCGAGCGCACCTCATTCGTTCACTCACCCCTTTCATCGCCCCCCCATTACGCAACGCTCGAGCTTAAAACGCTATCCCGTCCTGCCAGCGCCTCACTGGAAACCAACGGAGGGCGCATTTTGAGTCATGAGACAAGCTGTTGAAGTCTGAGCCGCAATTACTGCAGGTTCTCGTGGAGCTCTGGACAGTTCGCGCATCAAGGCAACGACGTCACGCCGAACACTTGTAGATACGCAGAACAGCATGCATTCCTAACAGACCGACAGGTCGGCACATGCCAGCGAGCTGTCTGCTGCGCGGACCAACTGATTTGCAACCATAACACTACAATGATGGGCTGTCAGATCGGCCCTGCAAAATCCGACGATCCGGCGTGTGAGTATGTGAGAGCGTGGACTTGCGCTCGCTCATGCTTCGCTCTGCAGTGCTCGGGAGCCGGGGGGGAGTTCGCTCTGCAAGGGGGGGGGGGGGACGCCATTCCCGACGCCATTCGGTGCTCGGGAGCCGGGGGAGGGGGGGGGACGCCATTCCCGACGCCGTTCAGTGCTCGGGAGCTGGGGGGGGGGGTTCGCTCTGCAAGGGGGGGGGTGACGCCATTCCCGACGCCATTCAGTGCTCGGGAGCCGGGGGGGGTCGCTCTGAAGGGCGGGGGGGGGGAACCCATTCCCGACGCCATTCTTTGCTCGGGAGCCGGGGAGGGGGCGAGGGTTCGCTTGCAAGGGGGGGGGAACGCCATTCCTGGCGCCATGCAGTGCTCGGGGGCGGGGGGGCTTCGCTTCCGACGGTCCCACAAACTCCCGGGACCGCGTCAAGACGGCTCCTTAAGCTCCCAAGACGACCCCAAAACGGCGCAAGGGAACGCCGAGACGGCCTAGGAACCGCCAAAGCCAGCCTTAGAGGGCCTGACCAGGGCCCCAGGAGAGGCCCAAGAGGGAGAGCCCGAACCGAAAATCAACATCTTTCCTTTCACGACGTTCTCCAGAGGCTCCAAGACACCCCCAGGAGGCCCCAACAGGCCCCCAAGAAGCCCGCCAGAGAATCCATAACGCCCCCAAGAGGCCCGAAACCAGGCCCAAGAGGCCCCAAAACGAGCCCCGAGACGCTTCCCGAGGTCCCTTGCTCGATACCCTGAGCCTCAGTCCTCAAGCTGGTAGATCCTTCATGGGCTCGGACCCCAAACTCTCAAATCTCGTGGGCCTCTCCACCTCCTCCTCCTCCTCCTCCTCCTCCTCCTCCTGCTCCTCCTCCTTCTCCTCCTCCTCTTCCTCCTCCTCCTCCTCTTCCTCCCGTTCCTCCTCCTCCCTCCTCATGCTCATTCCTCTCTGCTCCGCCTCCTTCACCTACTCCTCCTCCCTCATCCCTCCCTTCTCTCCTCCTCCCCTCCTCCACTCTTCCTCCCCCTACCTCTTGCCACCCTTTTCCTCCCTCATCCCTCGTCCTCCATCCTCCCTCCTCTTCGTCCCTCCTCACAAAAGCCAAAAACAGCTCACGAACGGCCCTTATGAGTTCTACAAAATGTGGAGATGACACACGCAACATATGATGGCCTACCTTTTCCTCTTCATCAGCTTCATCATAACGGTTGACATCAATATCCCCACCACCGCCATCACCATAGTCAACGTCATCATCCTCACCAACCTCATCGGCATCACCATCATAATCATCATCAATAACGTCACAATCACAATCGCGGTCCTCGCCAACAACACCACACTTACTACCGTCAGAATTCACATCATTGACATAAGCACAACCGTCATTGTAGGCATCATTGTGAGCACATCGCTACCATCACCACAACCATCAGCACCATCATCGGCACTATGGTCAACAGTCTCGTCGTCGGCATCGCCAGCATCCTGACCATCGCCATGACCACACCATCATGTTAATCATCATCATCCTCCGGAGCGCCCCCCCATCTCCTCCTCCTTCTCCCTCATCCCTCCTCCCTTCTCCCCATTCCCCCCTCCTCCTCCTCGCTTTTCCCTCATCCGTCCTCAATCCTCCCTCCTCCTCTTCCTCCCCGAAATCCAACATTTCAACAGACAAAGAAATCTGTTTCGAAATGTTATGCCCCGAAGGAAGGAGCCCGAGGTGGCCCGACGAGCTCCACTGTACCAGGATAGCCTCCCAGGCCGCCAGGAGGCCCCCAGAGAGCCCAGAGCTGCGCCCAGGCTGCCCCAGAGTACAGGAGGCCCCAGAACTCTCCAAGAGGCCCCAAAGAGAGCCCAATATGCCCCAACAGGCCTCCACGAAGCCCTCAAGAGGCATCCAAAATCCCAGATACTGGGGTGGGGGTTGCCAGGGTGGCTCTGCCAGGGAAGGAGGAAGCGTTCTGGAATCATCTTTTGGAAAGGGATGGGAGCTCCAGCTTACTCCCAGACGGTCCCCTCGCCCAGGAGAGCCCCAACACGGGACAATAACAAGCAAGAGCCGCCGCCGCCCCGACGGTCCAAGAGGGCCCGGGTCGCTGAAAAATCGCTCCAAGACGCCCAAGATGTTCCCAAGACGGCCCCAGCAGCCTCCAAGACGCCCCAAGAAGCCTTCAAGAGGCCCCCCAAGAGGGCCCAAAGAGGCAAACATTGTCCCATTCCCTAGATTCTGAAAAATTAATATGTTGAGCGTATTCACCTCTGGAAACTTCACAGTTTCCAAGGTGGCCCAAGAGGGCCCCAAGACGGCCAAAGAAAGGCCCAAGACGACCCAAGACGACCCAAGACAGCCCCAAGAGGGCCCTGAGGCGCCCAAGAAGGCTCCAGAACGTAGAAGAATTCACGACGGCCCGAGAGGCCCCCAGGAAGCCCCCAGAGGCCCCCAAGAGGCCTCAACAGGCTCCAACCGGCCCCCAAGAGGCCCCCAATAGGGTCCTGAAAGACCCCAAAGAAACTCAAGAACTGCCTCCAAGATGCCCCCCAAGAGGCCTCCAGATGCCTCCAAGACGCCCCCAAAACATGCAAACGAATGCCTCCCAAATCGTCCAAAACGCTTACGTTTGAACAACCATGAGGCAAAACAGTTGGATCTTCAATCATTTCACATATTCAGACGTCTTGGATGCCCTTTGTCTTAGGATTCTTGGGGGACTCGCGCGAGAGCGTCATTTTCGAAGACCCAGAAAGGTTTCGCAACCGATTTCCACATGCTCATCTTATGCAGATGTCTCGAACAGGGGCTGTATCTTCAGCGTACACGGGCATCCATTCCCATCAGCATCGGGAGCGCCCTGGATCGGCGGCACTGGCCGGAGGCCACTACAATATATGAGTTGGCCAACGGGCTCCGGCCCGCAGAGCTGTGAGCACACACTAAACAGCGCGCTCGCGCTCTGCGGACGTCCTTGTGGCCGCCCCACCAGCCAGATTCGTGCCGCTCCAGCACCTCCGCGCACCACTGTCGGCAACCCTGGACTGCTACACACTGATGGCGCGTCCCTCGCGACACGTTCATCCACGCCCTGCCTGGAAATATTCTCGCATCATCTCCTCGCATGTCCAGGAGATGTTGGTGCGTGCTCTGGTCAACGCTGTGTACACATCCACCATGTATCTTACTCCCCCCTGCCAGTCAATCCTCATGCAAGTGCCCTCAAAGCTCCTCCACACCTCACCCTGCTCCTCGACCTTCCCCCCCATCCATCCCTCTTCCTTATAACCCCCACCGCAACACAAGACGTATCCGTAGACTGGGCTAGACGTTTCGCGTGAGACCTCCTTATCATCCGCCGTCTTGGATCCAACAACTCCAGCAGCTTCACGGATGTAGGGCCGCGGGTTTTCATTCTCAACGTGCAAGTTTCGCCCTCACGCCGCGCAATGTATCCTTAACCATGTCCTGCTGCTTCACACATGGAGGCAGGGTCAGATTCAAACATTGTTACCACTCTTGCTTCGCACACACTCGTCCTCAAAACCAGCAGCAATTACAGGTGTCGAGAGCGGGTTGTTTTCAACACGCAGCTCTACTTAGCGTCGTGCGCATTCGTCTTATACATCTGCAACACCGTCAAACATGGAGACCGGTTCGTTGTTATGCTGGGGTTATCGCCTTCGCACAGCGTTCACGTCTCCTAACACTTCGCAGCCACTGGCAAGATGCAGGGCGGCGCATTGTGAGATGCTGCGGTCACTCGACCGATCGTTTGAAACGTTTGGATCATCCACAATGATGGATGGCACTTGATGTTAAATAGGCAGATTTGCTTGGGATTTCCTCAAGTTTCCCGGCCAAGCGTGAATGCTGGGATTGCTGCGGGGGGCGAGGGGGAGGACTTGGGCTGGCTGCCGGAAAATGGAAGGGGGGGAGGGGGACGCGCGGTGCCCGCGCCGCGCCGTGCATCGCCGTGCCGGAATGAAGCGGTCGGGGGCGTGGGGGGCGAGAGGGGGCGGGGCTGGTCGCGGTCGGATGCGGCTCCGATGCCGCGCCTCGCTGTGGAGCACGCTGGTTGGGGGGCGCCAAAAGGCCAGGTTGGCTGCAGGATGCGGGGGGCGAGGCTGAAGAGGGGATTCAGGCTGGCCGCATCGGGGGGGAAACTGCGGAGGGCACGGTGCAAATGCACTGCCGTGCCGCGCCGAACAGGATGTCGGGGTGGAAGGGCCGCGCTGGCTGGGGGGCGAGGAGGAGCGGGGCTGGCCGCAGGAGGCGGGGGAAGGGGGGCGCAGCGCCAATGCCACCAATGCCGCACAGCGAACGGTCGGGGTGGAAGGGGCTTGGGGGCAGGGAGGGGCTGGGCTGCATGCGGGGGTGAAATTGCGGAAGAACTGGGCTGGCTGCCGGGCGGGGGGGAAAAGAATGCGGTGCCGGCGCCGCGCCGCGCCGTGCCAGAATGAAACGGACATGGAGGAGGCGCGCTGGCTGGGGAACGAAGAGAAGATGGGCTGGCTGCGGGGGGCGAAAAAGTGGAGCTGGGTTGGCGGCGGGGTTGGGGAAAGCGGGCGCGGCGCTGGCGCCGCGTCTTGCCGCGCTGGAATGCAGCTCTACACTGAGGCGGAATGACCAGGAATGTAGCGGAAAGTCGCGGAGAAAGCCGAGCGCGCAGCGCTCGATACATGTATACGTATTTTTTGTACATCTATATGTACCGATACACACATGGAGTCGATGTACATACACACATACACACGCATACATACAGACATACATGCGTACATACATAAATAATGCAGCAACTACCATGATCGCACATTCTGTGCCACCGAAGCGGTGCTGATGGGGGCGTTCAACTCAAGAACACTTGGGGGAAATATGCGGTGCTCTTTGCCCCCGAAGCTCGCTACGTGAGCTGCAGCATCTGAGCCCCCCCGAACTGTTAGGCCTAGGGAGCGCCACGCTTGTGCGACCCCTCCCACCACAGGGAGGCCGCGGCGGGGGCGACTTGAGAAACATTGGTAGCAGATCGAGACACACGGGGAGAAGGCAGCTTACAGACAACGGTTGCGGTTGGGCATGTAAAACACAATGTATATAAATGCGGCGCACACGATGATCGCATATCATTCCCCGCCGAAGAGATGAGCGGCAGCCGCTGAGACCCCCCGAACCGCCAGGCCCAGGGGCCGCCCGGATTTCTCTGCCCCTCCCAGCCGAACCTCACGAGGTCCACTGGACAAAAGCCAAGTCAAAATCTGTCATTGGCAATGCGGGGCCACTCCGAAAAGAGCGCGGGCGGGCGCGCGAGGCGCCGCGGCCCTGCGGCCACCGCCGAGGAATCCCCCTCGCCAGACTAGGCGATCCGCATCGTGAAATAATGCTCGGGCAGAAGGGGGGGGGGGGGGGGGGGGCAATCTAGTCAGCCCAGAGCATGGGCCCAGACCGCTCACCACCTCGGCCCTCTGCTGCTCGTTAGGAGCAGCCAGCAAAGATTAAGATTTGCGCGGTGGCGCCCCTGCTTCAGGGCCCACCACTACGGCGCCGCGTATAAACGGCATCCCCCGACGCCAGAAGTTGTCGCCCTGGGCGAGCTGACGGCCGCCCAGGTCCGACATTTTCTCTACCTGCACGACGCGCTCGGTGTAGCGCTGCAATGCAAACGCGGCGGCGCACCTCCCACAGCGTCGCGCCGCTTCCAGGCCACCCCCAAGAGCTGCAAATGTCGCCGCCGCCGCCGCGCGCCGCACGCCGTGCGGGGGCCAGTCTTCTCGCGGCCAGCCTGATTCGGGACTTGGCCATGGGCCTTTCAAATGGCAGCCTACGCCTACGCGACAGGAAACGAAGGTTCATTGGGCGAGCTTGAACGAACGCCTGCATGATGCCCCGCGACACCTTCCCTTCGAGCACAACTCCCTCGCTGGCACCCGCTTTCGTCTTCTGGCCGATAGCACGGTCTCCCAGGCGGCGCAAACCACAACTCCCTTCGGGTGTAAAACTGACGCGTCGCACTCGCAACATCTCCCAATCTCGGTCGCGTAGCCAGCCGCCCAACTGCTCAATGCACGCGGCCGCTTCCAACAGGCGGCCTACCTGCGCGCATTTGTCGCAAACGCGGCCATCGCCTGGAGCGGGGCCGGGTGCTCTGCTCCGCCGAACTGCGAACTATCCCGTGGCTTTCGTGCACGTAGAGCCGCGCGCGACGCCCCTCGATGATCCTCGAAAGCGCGCCGGGGGCGCGCGCATATAGTTGCCCCCGCGTAGATAGCACCAGCCGCTGATGTAGTGGCCCAGTGACTTGTCCAGCTCAGCTATCGACCCGAAGGCCACCTTGCCCCTGTTACAATCGACGAGGAAACCGCGGACCTCCCCCGCCCCTGGACTACGCCGGTGGAGTCGTCCACGGCATGGGCGACCAAGCGGTCGTTCCTGCGTGGCGTGTCCTTCTGAGCCTGCGCCCAGGCCCGAGCCCCGCGCCTCCGCGAGGTGGTGGTCGCTCTCGCCGTCGCGCGGAATACGCCACCTGTGGCATCGCAAGCGCGATGATCCACCGCGATATCGCCCCACTGCGCCTCGCCAGACCTGCCGGCCGATCTGCCGGAAGGGCGGCCTGGCAGACGTTGGCGTTAAACCTCATCATGCGCGCGTCCTTCAACTTTGCTGCCGCCGCGATGGCGCCCGCCAGCAATTGCCCCGGGTGCCCAGGACTAGCGAGATGTCACGTTTCACTCGAGCTAGCCGAAACAGCGCCCCTTCCGACGACCCCCCTTCTGCAACGCGCCCACGGGGGCCACCGCGTCGGCCACGATCGACGCGCCTCGGCCAGCGCCGAGACGACCTCGCCAAGTGGCGTATCGCCAAATGGCGCAGCACACTGACCAATCATCTCAGTACCAACGCGTCGCTGCGCCCCTCTGCCCGCCATTGCAAAACGACAGAAACTTGTGCCGTCTCCTCTCGTCCACCCAGCCCGCCCACATCGGCATCGCTGGCCCTCGAGAGCGTTCGACTCGCAGCCGCCCTCGTCGCAGACGTACCTAAGCACCTCGCGACGCGTCGTCCCGACTGTAGCCGATCAGCCCCAGCTCTTCGGCGTAGTCCTGGACCAGCTGCTCCGCGTCGCAGACCAGCAGCCCGCACTACATAGCCCACTGCCCCCAGAGCCCCCTGTCGCCCACAAGCTGCGGCGAAGTGGCGAGCGCGACCAGCCCCCCCATCGCCGCGGAGTAGATGCCCCCTCCCAGCAAGCAAGCGCAGCGCGCGCCCCCCCCCCCCCCCCCCCCCCTCTAGGTCCCCACACAACAAAGCCGCGCCGCATCAGGAGCGCCAGAAGCGCGAACCCCATGCCCTAGCGCATCGCCAGTCGGTCCCCCTCCACCACCACGCGCGCCCAGTTGTTGCCCCTGCTGCACTTCTGGAGGGCCCCATCGCCGACGTCCTCGACACCCCGCGGCTGCCGCCAGTCTCGGAGCCTCTCGTCCAGGAAGGCATCTAGGAACGAGGTCATGCGCGCGACCATGTACCAAAGCCTCCTCAGTCGGGTGAACACTCTTTCGACCGCGCCCACCTCGACGAGCTTCTCCAGGCGCAGCGACTCCATCCAGGTTCTCACCAGCCGCCCGACCGAAGCCATGAGGTCTAGTGCGCCATGTCCAAAACAGCACCCCAGATCGTCCTTCCTTCGGGTGCTTCATCTCGTCCTCCTCCAAGACGCGCGAGTCGACCTCCCCCCCCGATGCCCGCGCGCACTTCCCCCGCCCTGGTCTGCCACGCCTGCTCCGCGCCCCTGCCCAACTCGTGCTCGATCTCCTCTACGTTCGACTTCGTGGCCACCGCTCCGAAACCAACGTCGCTCGCGTCGGCCATGGGGGCCGTCGCGCGCCACTCCGGCTCCGGCACCGACTCGGAGAGAATGGCCAGCACTGATAGCGCCTTCAGCTCCCCCCTGACAGAGGCGACGAGCACCCAGCGCACCCCCGCCTGATCTCCCCCCCGCGGGCGCCAACCCACCGACGGCATGCGCCGGGCGTCGAAAATGCGTGGCGGTGCGCCAGCGTCCCCCGCGCCCAGCATCCAACGAGCGTCGCCAGCTCCACTGGGCGCGAAGTCCACTGCAGCAACACCACCTCCGCACAAAACGCCGGGTCCTCCATCTGTTCGGGGGAGACCGCCAGGGAGAATGGACGGCTCGCGATCGCCCGATTCAAGCCTGCATCCGGTCAAGTACACGCGGACCTGCTCCTTTCTCGCGCCCAATTCTTTGTCCTCCCCGTCCTGCGCGAGCTTCATGCGAATGTAGTCGTCGATGCGCAGCGGCAGGAGGAACTCCGGCTTGGTGACGCTCGGGGAAGCCTTCCCCTAGGTGATCCGATCGGCAGAACAAACCACGATCGACCCGAAGCAGTCCACAAAGGCACAGAACGAACGGACGAACGCACGACCACCGCCACGGACAACATTTCGGGCCCACGACGGACTGAGCGAGGACGTGGCCTCTGGGATCTGGCTCGTCTGGACAACGTGCAGTGCGGGGGGAGGCGGAGGGGGCCATCAGCGTCTCGACATGCCTCGGGGCCAGTTGCCCAGTCGGACTTGCACGGTGTCCGCGAACTCAGGAACACCAGGGGGAAGAGGCGGTAGATGGCGATCTCCTCATCAAATCACTCCCGCGCCTCCATCCCTCCTCGTCCACCGCCTCCTCCGCCTCCTGTTTCCTAACCCAAGTCCCTCGTCCTTCCTATATCACCTCTCACCTGCACGTACCCCGTTCTTCCGCATCGTCCTTTTTCATCATCGGTCCTCCTCCTCCTCCTCCTCCTCCTTTTCCGCCTCTGTCTCGCTCCTCTCACCACCAATCCCTCTTACATCATCACCCCTCCTAAATCCTTTCCCACGCCTCCTCTCTTCCTCCCTCCTGATTATCCCGCCTGTGCCTTGTCCCCATCCCTCCTCCTCCTCCCCTCCTCCTCCTCCTCCTCCTCCTCCTCCTCCTCCTCCTCCTCCTCTTACCCATGCTTCCAAGATCCCCCCCGGACCCCCAGGGGGCGCAGGCTGGCGAGAAACGGTCCCAGGCTGTGGCCACGAGGAGGCTACGGGAGTTCCAAAAGACAGAAATATGCCCTCCCCTTGATGGGCCTGTTTTCCACCACCACCACCACCACCAGAAGTTGAAGGGGGGAATGAGGAGAAGGAGGAGGAGGAGGAGGACCTCCTCTTCCTCAGTTCTCCCCCGTCCTACATATGGTAGTGGTGGTGGAAAATTTGCCCATTACCCCTCTCCATTCTTCCCTTTCGAGAGGCGCAGCATTGCGCAGCGCCCACACGATGTCGCCCTTGGAGAGTCTCAGCTGGCCAGCGTCGCCATCCTGTGGGGACGCGCTGCGCGATCCTACCTTCTCCTTCTGCCATGATTCCCCCCCCTCCTCCTCATCACTCCTCCTGCTCCTCCAGCCTCCGGCCTCCCCTTGCTGCTCCTCCAAGTCTGCCGTTTCCTCTTTCGCCGTGTCCTCCTTCTGTGACCCCTCCCACTCTGTGGAGCCTCTCGTGCCAGTGGCCGACCCCGTCCGCGTGGCGGTGTCGCATATTGAATGCGGTGCTGTTGCAACATGAAAAATTTCCAACCCTCGAAATGGCTTAGGCCTGCTGCTGCCGTTACCTTCCGTGCCGATGTGTGCGCGTCCTCCTATCTCTCCTCTGGCTCTGCCTCTTCCTTGCCGGAATGGGCAGAAGAGTGAGAGGAGGAGGAGGATGAGGAAGAGTAGGAGGAAAGAAGGACGGAGAATAGGAGAAGATTTCTCTCCCACGTCCTCCCGCCTCCGCCCACTCCTCGTTCAATCCCTCCACCTCGTCATTATCCTCTTCCCCTTCTGCCTTCGCCACCTCCTCTTCCTGCCACGTCCGCATCCTTAGCGTCACCAAACCCGTCCTCACCCAACCCCTTCGTTGTGGAACAAGGACCTCCGCCAGAGTCTCGGAACAATGAGTGCGCTGGGAAAGTGGGGGCAGACGGTGAATAAGGTGTGGGTGGGAACAGTCGCGCGTCAGCCCACTGTGGGCAAGCGGGGGGCCCTAGTGCTCTGTTCGGTGTGCTCCAGTGCACTCACGAGGACGAGGTAGGCACGGAGGACCTCCAGTGCACTCACGAGGCCCAGCGGACCCTTGGGGGCTCGGGAATGGAACGACTAGCTTCTGGGGTGGCCAAGGAGGGCGATGACTACGAGGGGGGATATCTTGGCGGGAACCATGGTATCTTCCCAGATGTCATGGCGCCCCCGCTTATTTCAACACGTCCGTGGCCCCCCTCCTTGGGTCGCGCACATGCCTCCGGCCATGTTTTGCGCCCCCCCTGTTGGACGCCCCCCCTCTTGAATGCCCCCAAGACACCTTGGGCCGGCCACACCTTTGGCAACGACCGATCAATATCTTCACTCTGGGCACTCCTGGCGCTCGTCTGCTCTGCCAGCGATGGGTCCGCTGATAATAACGTTCACCGAGCTTGAGGCCCCTCCTTCGTCCGTCCCCCTTACGCACTCACCCATGCGTACTCCCTCCCACCCTTCCCTTCTCCTCCTCCTCCTCCTCCTCCTCCTCCTCCTCCTCCTTCGCCTCCTCCTCTGGGCCCGTCGTTGCTGCCTCGCTCCCTCCAGCCCTCCTCCCCTCAACCCTCTGGTCCGTCTCGAGCCATGGGGGGGCCAAACATTGAAAATCCCCAAGTCCCGGGCGCAGGGGGCCTGCGGCTTGAGCGGAGTCCCGCCAAGACCGGGTAGCACAAATCAACACGACTATAAAGACAAGATGGAGACTCGGAGGATGCACCCGCATCTCGCACTCCGGGCAGCGGGAGGCGCTTCTCTCGAGTGCAACTCGGTCACGACGCAGTGCCTGCGTCAATCCCGACTCGAACCAGCATGGTGCAGGTGATGAAAGTCACCCACCACACCGCCCATACGAGGCCCAAGGACTGCGCAAGCCCCCAGGTCCCCGCCATCAGCAGGGTGATTGAAGGCGACGCTCCGGCTGCACACACGCGGGCCAGGAGCTTCGATGGGTCAGCGCCGCCATCAACATCATCAGCGCCAAGATCGAGCTCTTCGAATGCATTGCAGCCAGGGTGTTGTCCCCTAGCATCGCCCCCGAGCAACGAAGAGAGCCACGTCCCCATCACAGCCGATGCCAGGGAGACCAGATGGACCTGCACTCCTCCGATGCCATGCCCCATGTCGAGGCCAGCGAAGCCGCCGACGACGAGGACCAGAAGCCCACCAACATCTCTTTGGACGCCCGAAATGGGTACGGAAAGAATGGGCACTATGCCCAACAACAAATGTTGTCCCAAGCCAACAGCGGCCGCTGTTGGGCAGGCGGCCTCCTGTCTCGAATGGACACAGGCCGCGGCGGCGTGGACAGCGAGGCCTGTTCAGAATGATCAGGAATTGTTGTTGGGCATTGTACCCATTCTTTCAGTACCCATTTCGGGCGTCCATAATCTCGGACCAAAGCATCCAAGGCGCGCCACCTGGCAAGAACCGTGCGATCATTGTCAGATGCGTCCCCATAGACGCCATCAGCATCGATGACACGAAGATCGCGAACGAGAGGCGCAGGGTCCCAGACCAGGCTCTCCGAGACACCTCCCGCCCTGCCGCCGCTCCGCGCGCCGCTGGAGCAGGGCGCGGAGACCTTGAAAGAGGCAGGAACGCTCACCTGTGTCAGGGGGGCGTAAGACCCGGGTACCGGGGACTCGGGAATCCCCGACGAGGTCGTCCACAAAAACGACGAGGCCGAGCCTGCAACTCGACGAGGCCTCTCCCGCTGCAGACACCCCACGAAAAACTCCCGCTCGTCAAAATCCGAGTCGCAGTCGTCAAAAAACGATGGGGAGGAGGAGAGGGAGGAGGGAGAGGAGGAGGAGAGGGAGGAGGAGGAAGAGGAGGAGGAAAAGGAGGAGGAGGAGGAGGAGGAGGAGGAGGAGGAGGAGGGTCTTACGCTCCCCCGAATGTGCGCTGCGCTGCCATCCGCGGGCGCGCTCCCTCTCGGAGGCGGCGCTCCGTCCGTGCCGCTCGTCTCCCCCTCCCGCGGCGCGGGGGCACCCCGAGCAGTCCGAGCCCCGGCGCGCGTGGCTCAAAGAGTAGTTTCGCGCCCCACGGTCGGAGGCCTGGAAATTGGCACCAACACCAAGACAGGGGGTTGCCTCCACAGGGGGAAGGTGATCCTAGATTTTGGGTGTTGGTGGTAATAGTTCGGCCACCTTGGAAGCTAGAATATTACCACCATCGCCGAGATCGGGATCTTCGTCCCTCGGTGGAGGCAAACCGCCGAAATTGGTGCTGGTGTCAATCTCTAGGCCTGCGACACGGTGTCCATTCATCAGTCTCGGGCGGGGGGGCCATCATGTATCAAGTCAGAAGCTGGCATCAGAAAGCGTCCGCCTGCTGGGCCCAGGCGGCAGACCGACGCTGGACCCTCTTCGCCGGTGCAGGGAGCGCTCCAGGGGAACCAAGCGCAGATCCAAGCAGCCCCCCTCCCAAAGTGTATGCGTATGCAGCTTGTCGTTGTTATCATTCCTGTCTTTCTTCTTATGTATGATTATTATTCTTATGATTCGTGTTCTTAGCATCCTGAAGATTCTGCCCCTTATCACTATTACGATTGTTAATACTATTCGAGGGGTACGGGATCTCGGGGATCTACCCCACGCCACCCACCGATGCGCGACGCCACGGGGACGCGAGGGGTGCAGGAGGGGTAGGAAAGGAGTTTCGACATGTTGCTCATCGTTCGGGAGCAGGCAGTGGGGGGAGGCCGCGACGATCGCATAAAAGCTTGGGGCGCGCCACGAACACCACGGCACGCCCTCCGAGCACCAGTGCAGCCTGCGAGCGCAGCATCGTGCAAGAGAGCACCACAGTGTGAGGCACGTCACGTACCTGGGAACACCAATTCTGTTCTGCACGCGCGCACCAGACGGTGAACGAACGCTGAGTCTGCCGGTACCGCAACAGACTGCCAGCGCCAAACGTCACGTACACACACGGCATACTGGGCCAAGCAACTATCACACAAAAACGTGCAATCACCATCGAATGTCTGCGAGTTGCAGCCGCGTGCGTGCGAACATCACAATGCCCTGCCCGTCCACGTCCACCGGACGGCGAGAGAAGCCAGACCCTGTCAGCACCAGCGTCGTGCATCACAACCGTAAACGAGCGCAAAATGGTACGCACAACAATATGCCAGGAGTGCCAGGCATGCAAGTGCCTTCTAGCAAGCAAGACGCCGAGCCTACGAGCACCAGCAGCGCGTGTGACATGCCCAATCAGCACACTGCGAAAACTTGATCGTGCCGCAGAACAGTACGGTGCACTCGCGGACACCAAGCAGCGAGGGAAACCAACCTTTGCCACTGCCGCATATGTCTGAAACCACCACGTATACTAACCGTATGCTGGACCCTGCACTGCCACAATACCCTGCGAGCGACACAGGACGCAAGTATGCACTGGCTGTGAACCTGTGGGCACCTGGTCGTGACAGGCACGTCACCAGTTCTCGACTGGCGCCTCCTGTTGCAAGACTCCCCACCACCTCCATGCTACTGCTTCACGAACATGCCGTCGTCACTGACCTTAAAGTCGGCGCTGGCAACCTCCACAGGCTCGCAGAGCGTCTTCACGAGTAGCGATCCCTCAACATGTGACTTCTTCGAGACTTCTGCGGTCAACAAGGACAAGACAAGGTAGCGCGGGAGGTTCTGCACCCGCTGGACCTTTTTATGGAGATGTTGCGCACCATTGAACTGAACCCCTCCTCCGCCATGACGGCGTAGTCCCCCTGGCGGTTTTCCATAACGATGTCTGCGCCGTCCGCATGGCTGAGTCGCATACCCTTCCTAGATTTGATAATGGACTTCTGGCGGTCCAAACCCACCATCGGCGGTGCATCTGGTTCCACAGACATCCCGCTCTGTAAATCGTGTTTGGTCTCGTTGGATTCATCCTTTCAACAGCTGCACACACGGTGAGCACCAATAAACGATGGTCGAGTCTGGTACCTGCGGCTTTCGCAAGAGTTGACATGGATCTTGAGACAAACTGGCTTGAGACCATGCCAATGCCACAATAGACTACGAACACCACAGGAAGCATGCGAACACCGGCAATGCGCGTCAGAGCACGACGCCAGCGTGCGAGCGAAACAACGAGCATGGGAACACCAGCAGTGAGCGCGACCAAATGCCGAGACAAGCTGGATGGACCCAGTACCACGGTAGCTAGCGAGCAACAGCTGTATTCACATCAGTACGCGGGACGCTGTGAGTGCCACAACAGGCTACGCGCATCATAGCGCGAACGCCAGCAACATGTTTGCGGCCACTGGGCGGCGAACGAGGCAAGACTATTCCAGCAATTACGCGAGATAGGCATATCCGAACTGGCTCGGCCTCTAGGTGTCGAAGCCAGGACCCCAGCGTCAAATCTGAGTCATCCGCCTCCCTCTTCCTCACACCCTCTCCTCCGCCTCCTCGATATGCTGTGCTTGCGGCCAAGTAAGTGTGGTCGACCGCATTGAGGGCACAGTCACTCTCTTGTGTTATCCTATCATATTGCCTGTTTTCAAAGGGTTACGTGTCTCCCTCGCTTGGGTGATGTTGTAATGTATCGCGCCGTCCCGTTACTTTTTCCACTTCCATTTCCTTCCCATGTTCCCTCCCGCCAACCATCCATCAATGCCCTGCCCCCTCGTTCTCCTCATCCCTCAGTCCTCGCCCACCCCCCTTACTCCCTGGGCCCCCCATTCGGGGGATATCCCCTGACCACCTCGCCGATCCTGGCTGGGCCGCTGCTGAGCCCAGGATCGATGTCTGCGCGCATTGTCTCCTGAACAAGCGAGCATGGCTCATAGACCAATCCTGGGCCCAGGTTGGGCCTGGCCAGGATCGGTAAGTTGGTAAGCAGACGTCGCCCAATCCTCCCTCTCCGCATCCTCCAATCGTCGTCGCCGCCGAGGACATCCCTAGAATGGACCCCGCTGCCACTCGTGTACCTTTGTGTGCCGTGGCGGCGAAACACGATCGCGAGCTCGTGCAGTCGCATCGCCGCCGCTTTGCCACTCTCCTCCTCCTCCTCCTCCTCCTCCTCCTGCTTCTCCTGCTCCTCCTGCTTCTCCTGCTCCTCCTCCTCGTCCTCCTCCTGCTCCTCCTGCTCCTCCTGCTCCTCCTGCTTCTCCTGCTCCTCCTCCTCCTCCTCCTCCTCCTCCTCCTCTTCGTCCTCCTCCTCCTCCTCCTCCTCCTCTCTTCCTCCTCCTGTCCTCCCCGCCGCCGCAGAGGAGGACGACGACCAGCGCGAGGACAGGGGGGGAGAAATGCTGGGGCCGCAGTCGCCGCCCCTTGCTCCATCACTCGGCCCCTGCCGTGCCCCCCCCTCCCCCTGTTGCCGGCTCCGGGCGCGGAGCGCGCCTGCCCTGCAGCATACAGGAGGGAACAGACACGAGGGGGGGGCAGGGGAGGGGATACAGTCGGGGCGTTGACCTAAGGAACCCCAAGTAAGGAGCGAGGCCCCTTTTTGCCATGAGTTGAACTCTTCGATTCCCCGTCGAGAACAGAAGGAAAACTCGAGGCAAGCTGTGAAACAATTAAGGAACACGGAGCCCCTTCCCAACGAGAAGGGTTCCTTCTTCAAGGCCCCGACTGTAGGGGAAAGCAGTACATGGGACAAAAGAGACCAGGCGGCGTGGCCGCCGAAAGCTCACCCTAGAACGCTCCACAAAAACGAACTACAGTCGGGGCCCTGAAGAAGGAACCCTTTTGGTTGGGGAGGGGCTCCGCGTTCCTTAAGTGTTTCACAGCTTACCTCAGGTATTCCTTATGTTTCCGATCGGAAACCGAAGTTTAACTTATGGTAAAAAGGGGCTTCGTTCCTTATTCAGGGTTCCTTAGGTCAACGCCCCGACTGTATCCATATCACAGGGTGGAGAGAGATCGCCAGTGGGTGTCAGCTGTTGCATCATGGGCGGCCACAGTCGCGGTTGCCGCCGACGCCGCCGTCGCCGCCGTTGCCGCTGCCGTTGGCCGCGGTCGCGGCGGCCGGCCGCCGCCGATCCCGCGCCTGCGGCTGGTAGTTGCACAACACCTCCGTCCTGACGGCGTCGCCGATGGGGTAGTTGTGCCTCCCGCGGCGCGCGGCGGTGGCGGCGGCTCTTCCTTGTCGCCCGCCCACTCGTACCGGGGTGAGGGGGGAAGGGGGGGAGAAGAGGGGGCGAGGAACACAATTTCGGCGCGCTCGGGCCATACCCGACACCCTACCACTTTCACCCGCCCGCCCTCGCTACCTGCTTTGTTTCGCGGTAGCCAAGGGGTGTCGTGGCGGATTTGGCCCTCCCCAACATGGTTGCATCCTGATGTGCGCACTCAGAAGCGGGAGCGGGATCCATCAGAGCACGATGCACAGAGTGGGAGGAGGGAGGACGGCGAGGAGCAGCAACCGCAGCAGGAGCAGCATCAGGACAGGGGGTGGAGCGAGGTGGGCAGGAGGAGCCTGGGAAGGCAGGCCAGGGGCAAGGAAGGAAGAGGAGGAATGACTCGGGTACTCCAGATTTCGTAATTAAGGGAGGGGGGTCTCATTTCGGGGGGGGGTCTCTTCCAGGCTATCCTGGAGGGCCTGGGGACGATGTTTTGGAGGGTTCTCCCACGGGGGAGGTCTGAAATGGCTCGTCTTGGAGGGTCCAGACCCCCTCCCTGTTTATTACGAAATCTGGAGTACGGATCGTGCCCTGCGCCGGAGCGAGCGCGCAACTCCGAGTGACACGAGGCGGCGCCAAAACTGAAAATCAAGACAACGCTGCAGCCCGAGCGCCTCCTCCTCCTTCTCCTCCTCCTGCTCCTCCTCCTCCTGCTCCTCCTCCTCCTCCTCCTCCTCCTGCTCCTCCTCCTGCTCCTCCTCCTCCTCCTCATCATCCTCCGCTTCCTCCCCCCACTCCTAGCCCTTTCGATCAGGGTCGGCGGCACCGGCCGTCATGCCTCTCCAATCAAGACAACGCTGCAGCCCGAGCGCCACATTGGAACAACAAGGAAAATACATACTTATGAGTGCCAAGTCTGTATTCGTTTCGCCCCTGTGTCGTGGGGGCTGCGCGCGGAGCGCACTTGGATCGCAAGCGCGATTGGGTGAGGAGCAGGTCGTCCAATGCATACTTAGGAATGCCAATTCTGTATTCGTTTCGCCCCTGTGTCAGGGGGGCTGCGTGCGGAGCGTACTTGAATCACAAGCGCGATGGGGTGAGGAGCAGGTCGTCCAATGCTAGCTCCAGCTGCTGACGCTGAAAGGTGTGTTCGAATGGCTCGAGAAGCAACCACGTCATGTGAGAAAACATGCGCAAGCCAAACCTCACCACGGAAACCATGCAGGGCCCTGGGCACCCCACCGAGGAGCATGTTGACCCCCGCGGGTGGGTGGTAGCGCAACGAGGCCAGAATCTTACAACATACTACCAATATGAAGCTGATGACGCAGCTGGCAAACAGAAGGAACACCTAGCAAGCTCTGACTGCGCATGAATGCCAGCTCTATCTGCACTCCGACCTTGGTCAGGGGAGGCTGCGCGCGAAGCGTACTTGAATGACGGGCATAATTGGGCGAGGCACAAAAGGGTAAACATCTCAGTCGAAGGACCCATGAGGCCACGGCATAATGTGAGGAAGCTCCCGCAGGTCACTACCTCATCCAAGGCCCCCTTGCAAGCGAAAGCTCCAAACCTTGTCGGACAAAAAAACAAGGAAGGCCACATGTAGCCTCCCCCTCATCCCCAACCCCACTCCACCGACCAACCACCACCACCACACTTGGAGGCGACTTCACAAGATCTGTAAGCAAGAGACCACGATGCTGCCGAGACGTCCACACGCAGTCGAAAGATGCTCACTTCTCAACGCCTGACCTGCTCACGAGCCGACCTCTCCCAGGGCCATCCGCCGAAAAGCACGACGTCGGCCAGCGGGACTCCGCGGGGCACCAGCTCGGCAGCGCCCCCCCGACGCAGCCCGCGGGGAGCCCGGCGCGCAGCTCCGAAGCCCAGAGCACCCGCTGCCTTCTGGGGCCAGCGCTGCCAACCAGTCGGGTCGGGCGAAAGGGGGGGATAGCAAAGGGGGGGTTTGAGAATCAGCTCGCGTAGCTGATTTTCCCGGCGCCTCCCGGCGCCGGAGGCGGCTATGTATCGAGGAATGGGCCCCTCGGTGAGGCCGAAACCAGCTGCATGCAGCAAATTTCGTAACCCCCCCTTTCCCAATCCCCCCCTTTCGCCCGGCCCGAACCAGGGCCTTTCCCATCGCGCAGCTCCAGGCCACGGTCGAGGGCTGCTCGGACGCGGCTGTCTGTCCGGCCCCTCGCCTCGCACGACCCGGCCGCGCCGCGAGGCCAGCGGGGGCCCCAATCCGCGCGCCGCCGCCCAACGACAGCGCCTGCGACGCGCGCGGCAGTCCAGGGACGCGCGAGAGGACAGCAGCGGCGCGGCCCCACTGCCCAGGCAGCACCAGCCAGTTGACCACGTCGAGGGCGAACGCAGCGGGCATGCCAGGCGCCTGGCGCGCGCGGCGCTTTGAAAGGCGGCGCCGAGGGCGCGCCTTCGCGAGAGAAGCCAGCAACAACGTGGACGCGGCGCAGAGCCTCTCGACGCCACCGGACTCCTCGGAAATGTCGACCACTCGCTCCGCCACACACCGGTCCAGCTCCTCGCACGGCTGGCCGAGGTGGCCGCCCATGGCCTCCGGGTCAGAGCTCTCGCACGGCTGGCCGAGGTGGCCGCCCATGGCCTCCGGGTCAGAGCTGAAGGTCGCTGAGGGTGGCGGCGCGCCATCGGGCGGTGACGGGCTTCGGCGCGCCCATCGAGAAGAGACAGTCGGGGGCGTTGACCTAAGGAACCCTAAATAAGGAACGAGGCCCCTCTTCTCCACACGTTGAGCTTCGATTCCCCATGGAAAAACTACGGATAACCCCAGGCAAACTGCGAAACAACTAAGGAGCACGGAGCCCCTCCCAAACGAAAAGGGCTCCTTTTGCAGCGCCCCGACTGTAATGCTGAGCCCGCGGCGCCTGTCCAAGTCGTCGGCAAGGAGGCGGACGCTCGCGCGCCCTGCCCAGGGGGCTGACTGCCGAGCGAGCCAGAGCCCGACACCGCTGCGACCCCCCACTGGCGCATGCCCGCGCGCGGGCGCAGGCCTGCGCGCGCCTATAGTTGCGCCGAGGGCGACCTTGGCGAGGAGGCGCGTGCTTCGGTGGCTCGAAGATGGGGCCGCGAGGGTGGGGGCCTGCAGCTCGGGAAGGATCCACGGGTGGAATTACGCTGCTTGGGGCACCTCGCCGCCCTGGAAGCCCGATTCCCCAGGGCCCCGTCTTGGATCCACCCAGTGTTGTCCCAGAACAATATATCGCGCCCATGCGATCGCGCCCAGACTTGGAAAGGCCGGCGTCGCGACGCCGCAGCAGCGGGACCGGGAAGCTGACTTAAAACAGGGCTAGGATCGGGATAAATCGCTCCAGAGCGTTCTGGAGCGCTCTCAGAGCGTTCCGGAACGCTCTGGAGCGGCCGCGGCGCGCAATACATCCTCCAAACCCGCCGACTCTCAGAGATTTCGAGTTATCCCGATCCGATTTTGTCCCGATCTTCGCGTCGTTTTATGACTGGCGGAGCCCTGCGAGCTCCACCGCGCGAGGCCGTCCGGAGCCCAGGGGCGGAGCGGCACCCCACAGAGGCCGCCTGCGGAGCGCCGCCGGCCGCCAGGCCCGACCGCGACGCAGGCAAGGCCGAACCCCTGACCGCCGCGGCGCAGCCGTCTCTGCCGCGCCCTCCCCGCCCGCATCGCACGGTTTAACGGGCGAAGAACGGTATAACATAAACTTCTTCGCCGTCGGGGACACCTGCCCCTGGGCGGCTGGAGAGTTTATATCCCTACGGTGCCACCGTGAGGGTATAAACTTTCCAGCCGCCTAGGGGCAGGTGTCCCCGACGGCGAAGAAGTTTATTTCATTGACGAACCAACAACACACACACCCATACCCATAGGGGGGTCGGAGAGGGCTATGGGTGCGTGTTGTCGGATGGGGGTCCCCGTTCGAACGGGAGCGTTCCCCAGGGTCCGACAACCCGCACCCATACCCATAGCCAGTCCTCCTCCCAACGACCCCCCTGTGGGTATGGGTGTGTGCTGTTCGTTCGTCATTTATACCGTTCTTCGCCCGTTAATGAAGGGGCCCTGGGACACACAAATAAATACACACAAATAAAATAAACCCCCAAATTTTTCTATATTTTCTGGATTTTTGTCTTCCCGCCCAATTCCCATATTTTCCCATATTTTCTGGGGAATCGACGATTAATTGTGTCTGTGTGTTTTTTTCCCTCCTGAGTTAAACGGTGAGCTTCAGGCCGCCCCCCCTCCAGCGGCGGCACCTCCGCCGGTGACCGTCGGCAGCCCTGCCGCCTCGGCCCCCTCACAGGGGCTCGCGCGCGCCCGCGGGCGGGGCCCACGTGGCCGTGCGCGGAGGGCGCCGCCTCCTGGCGCGGCCGCCGCCCCGGCATGGTTAGGCACCAGCTTGACCGACACCCATGATGGGCCTGTTTTCCACCACCACCACCATAAGTTGGAGGGGGGAGGGAGGAGGAGGAGGAGGAGGAGGAGGAAGAGGAGGAGGACTCCCTCCCCCTCCTGCTTCTGGTGGTGGTGGTGGTGGAAAACAGGCCCACCAAGCCATGCGAAAGTGCTCCCCGCCGTCGGTGGTCGACCCGAGGCGGCAGCTCTGGCCACACGCCTGGCCGAAGTGGAGCACCTCGCCGCACTCGCCCCAACGCGAGGCCGGCGCCCAACGTGGCGGCGAAGCAGCGGCCGAGACGCCACCGACGCCGCCCGCCAGCGCCATCTCAGGCAGCACGGTGCTCGAGAGCGGCGGACGCCCTTGCTGACTACCTACCAGACCACCCCAACCCAACCCGAAGACCCGAGATTCGGGTTGGGGGGGGTATGGGCTCCACATGTGCTTTTCGATGCTCCCGGGCCCACCCCACTAGAAATCGAGGGTAAGTCTGAGCCTTCGGGTTGGGTTGGGCTGGTTTGGTGGGTGGTGACTTGCGAGCTCGCGGAGACGCGCGCCCTCGGCCTGTCGAGCCCTCCGGCAGCC